CCAGTCGTTGCAACTGAACAAACTCTACCACCACAATTATTATTATTATTTTAAGTAAATAACACCACTGCTACCACTGCTACGACAATCAGTTTGCGTTCGGTTGTAGGTTCGGCCGGTTGTTTTATTGTTATTAATGGTGTTGCTGCCCCACGACAGCGGGAGGGCAAGAGTCCCGTCGTTGTCGTTGTCGTTGTCGTTGCCGTTGCCGTTGTTGCCGTTGCCGTTGCCGTTGCCGTTGCCGTTGCCGCTGCCGTTGTTGTTGTGGTTGTTGTTGTTGTTGTTGTTGTTGTTGTTGTTGTTGTTGTTGTTGTTGTTGTTGTTGTTGCTGTTGCTGTTGTTGCTGTTGCTGTTGCTGTTGCTGTTGCTGTTGCTGTTGCTGTTGTTGTTGTTGTTGTTGTTGTTGTTGTTGTTGTTGTTGTTGTTGTTGTTGTTGTTGTTGTTGTTGTTGTTGTTGCTAGTTGTGTTGTTTGTTGTTGTTGTTGTTGTTGTTGTTGTTGTTGTTGTTGTTGTTGTTGTTGTTGTTGTTGTTGTTGTTGTTGTTGTTGTTGTTGTTGTTTGTTGTTGTTTGTTGTTGTTGTTGTTGTTGTTGTTGTTGTTGTTGTTGTTGTTGTTGTTGTTGTTGTTGTTGTTGTTGTTGTTGTTGTTGTTGTTGTTGTTGTTGTTGTTGTTGTGTTGTGTTGCTGTTGTGTTGTGTTGCTGTTGTGTTGTGTTGCTGTTGCTGTTGCTGTTGCTGTTGTTGCTGTTGCTGTTGCTGTTGCTGTTGCTGTTGCTGTTGCTGTTGCTGTTGCTGTTGCTGTTGCTGTTGCTGTTGCTGTTGCTGTTGCTGTTGCTGTTGCTGTTGCTGTTGCTGTTGCTGTTGCTGTTGCTGTTGCTGTTGCTGTTGCTGTTGCTGTTGCTGTTGCTGTTGCTGGTGCTGGTGCTGGTGCTGGTGCTGTTGCTGTTGCTGTTGCTGTTGCTGTTGCTGTTGCTGTTGCTGTTGCTGTTGCCGTTGCCGTTGCCGTTGTTGTTGTTATTGTTGTTGTTGTTGTTGTTGTGGTGGTGGTGGTGGTGGTGGTGGTGGTTGTGGTGGTGGTGGTGGTGGTCGTGGTCGTGGTCGTCGTCGTCGTCGTTGTCGTCGTTGCCGCCAATCGCGGTGTTCGCCGCCGTGGAACTGTTGTCAAGACGCAAAAGCACATTCGAACAGCGCTGAGCAACGTGCGCGGATTAATTGAGCCTGCGCCACACATGGACCTGCACATCCGCTCAACAGGGCCCGTGCACCAGTGTGCACCTGCCTACCATAATAAACGCCCATACAACTGAGCCTAGCACTTGGAAGGCATGGAGAAAGACAATGCGGCAACGTGTAGCGCTGCGCCAGCGTTTCAAAGCAAGCAATGTAGCGGGCGCAAGGCAGGGCACAACTTGGGAAGAGAAACAACCCATCCACCTATCCCCACAGTTTCTTCTTCTGCGCAAGCGTCTGAGGCTGCCAGGGCATGCAACCAGGCCTTTAGCGCTTAGGGTTTTCTTTTCCCTTGTGTTTTGAGCTTGGTGTGAATCTGGTGCGCCGCTGCCATTTTGTGCTCCTAGCCTTAAGTACACACACAACCTCTGTATCTACGCCTTTCTGCAGACTCCTCTGTGCTTCTCCCTGCCTTCCCGGACCCACGGTCCGGCCTTGGACTCGTCTTGGAACCCGTGTGTCCCGTGACGCTGGCGTGGACACGCTTGTCGCGCCTCGCGTTCGCACTTTGCCACGCAAGGACACGCTTGTCTTTCCTTTCTTGTTTCACGGTGGGGGGGGATATCCTTGCCCCTTGTGTGCAGGCTCACCGCGTGCCCTGGTCACAACGCGACCTTCCTCGTTCGACTTTGTTGGGGTTTAAGGGAGTTAAGGCTAGGAGCAGTGCACCAGGCCCTTAACATGACCATCTCGATGTTACGCTTCAGGTCATTGTATATCAGAACAACGTAGACCATTCAATGCTTTGATATGCCGCATAGCAGCCGGTTGCGCATGAATACCATTCGCAGAAGAATCACATGGATGAACTATAGAAATGCAGATCATGCCCTCTTGGGCGCGGAGTGAAGTCGCATAGACTTTAGTGGCCGGTAGCATGGCGCTTGTCCACCGCACATGAATTTCATCTATTCATTCATTGCAAAATAGGTACACCCATTGTGCACTGTTCAGCGGCTAGTCTTGGCGGACGCGTGCTTTGAGACGTCGAGTGAAGCTTGGATGTGCGGTTGCAGGAGTTATGTATGACCCTGCAGGTAGGCCTGTGGAATTCTTTTCGTTCGCACTACAGAAGGGCCGCAGGGATTTCCTTGGTGCCTCCGTCAAAGGAACCTTCACATTCGAGGCGGAGTTGCTGGCCGTGTGCCTTGCGCTTGCTGCCTGGGCTAAAGGTGCCGTGTTGTAGGCTTCGTAGACAACAACGCGTCCAGAGACGTAGCAACTTCGGGCGCCGGGAGATCTCGTGTTGCAGAGGACCTTGGCAGTTGAGGACGAGGCGTATTTGCAGCTCTGGGTTGCCCGAGTGCCATCACCTTCAAACTTCCCCTGCCATCCCGCGGGCTGTGTAAGTCGTTGGAGTCGGGTACGTAGAGCAACGCAATTGGACATTGAACCTTTGACAAGTTTGCTCCTTAAGCACTTGTCTGACTCCAGTTCGACAAAAACGGCTAAACGGGGCTGGAGTGATTGAAGTGCCAACAGTGCAGCGTGAGTGCGAGCAGGTGAACACATACATCCAAGCAGCCGTGCGGAGGAGTGTGTGTGCCTTGCAACCAAAAATTGATATGTCCATGGCCACCGCAAGAAAACGGAACGCAGGCAAATGTCTCTTTTTTGTGTGTCCCTTTCTTTTGGGTTGTTCTTCGGCTCAAGCCTCAAGAGACACTACATATCTCTGTCAGTGGCATTTCGTTTGTATGATTTCTATTTTCATGATGTTTTTCATTGGATTTGCAATTGCAGTGCATGTGTATGCGCAAAGTCTTGAGAGAAAGGCACGAGGCGCTATGCCAAAGCCTGTTTTTTGCAGGGAAGAATTGCATCGCGAGGTGAACAAGTCACGTTGACAGCTATGGTCAGCTGTGTATAGTTTTGAAGAGAGATATGAAAAAGATGGGTGGAGATGGAAAATGTTCGTTACGCGGCAGGGATGTTTTTTTTTTTTTTGAATCAACGCGCGAGCGAGGGATGATGCAGGGCTGACGTGGTTATATTGTGCTTTTTGTGGCCATGGACACGCTCCCGCCTGCGGGCCGTTGCCGCTTTGCCGTGGCATGGGGCCGCGCCGTGCGGAAACACGACAGGGACGTAGCTTGTTTGGGGCCGTGTCGATGGCGATGGGCTGAACACAGCTGTGTGAAAGCGGCACAGACGCCGTATCGTGTGGCTGGGCCCGCAGAAACAGCGTTTGTTGCCTTGATGTTTTTTTTTGGGGGGGGCATTTTCGGGTCCAGTTGCCCCCGCTGGGCCAACTATTGGTTTCAGGGGCTTCCGCTCTTGTCAACAACAATAACGGTTCTCCCCTCTGTCGTAGTAGAGCTGGGCCGCGGAAAGAAGAAGGGTTGTTTTGTTGCCGGGACGCCCATGCAATGGATGAATTCGTGCATGGCCGAGGCCAAGCATCGTGGGCAAGGTTGCGTGTTAACCAACTGTTTGACCCTTCAATTTGTAGTGCCAAACCGAGCCAAGACCAGCGAAAGGAACATTTGGAAGCAACACAAGGTGGGGGACATGCCTGGATTTGGAAATTTGGCTACGTTATTGTGGCGCCCAAAGGCGCGGGCCTGCAAAAGGCTGTCAAAGACAATCACGCAACCAAAGGTGAACTGCAGACTCGAGAGAACGCTCCTCACAATGATGTCTCAATTACATCGCGTTGCAGCGCGCGCAATTGTAACGCACAATTGCGGCGACGGCAATCTGCCGCGCTGTACGCAGACGCGCGCAATCGCAGAGCGCGCCTGCGCTGCAAACGCGCCAACGCAATTGCACGTTGCAGCCCGCACCACACTGCACAGCAAATTACGCACTGCAGCAACGTGCTGGTCACGGTCGCAAAAATGCTCCTGCAGTCGCTCTCGACTCCTTGCGCCGGGTCGCGTGCAAGCATCCATCACGCAAGGAGGGTTGATTCCTGCAGCCGGCTTTTTGACTTATTCAACGTGGGTCTCGTTGCTCTTCGTGGTGTCATTTTCCTGGCCCGTTGTGTTTGCTCCTCTTCTCTTTTATTTTCTGCCTTGTGCCGTTTTTCTTTCTCCACGTTCACACTCTTATCATAGTGTTTGTTTGCCGCAATTTGCGCCATTTTGGAAAATCAGATCGTTCACATTCGCCGTTCGCCGTTTAGCTCTCATGTGCACTTGTGAACACATCATATTTCTAATTTCCGACAATCACTGCCAGTTTCCTAAAACCGCGTTTCAATTGGAGCCCCATTGCATTGATCCCAGCAGCAATGTGGCTTGGTGTGTTGAAGTGCAGCATGTCAAATCAAACAAGCGGTCGATGCGTTCGCACGTGGCCTGGCAAGTGCTGATTTAACTAACCCACAGGGTACAGCTTTGAGTTCACAACTGTTCGGGGTGTGTGCGTCCTGCTGGCAGCGCTTGGCGGCGAACAAGTTGTGCTTGTTGAATTTAGCACAAGTACGAATTTGTTGTGTGGGTTGGTTATTTGGATGTACGCGTGTCCAACACAGGGCTCCATGGAGTGCCGCGTGTAAGTTGGACTTCAGTTTGTTGGACATATGGCCGTTCTGCATATCAAGCATCCTAATTAGCACGTGCAAAACGTGCCGAGAATGGCAAGCCAATGTGACATTTGCGCACCACAGTAACAACAATGCGGGAGTTTTTCGTGCTAACTTAACATCTGACAAAGCCACACATAGTTCAAACAGAAATTGCAACAACCATCACATGCAATGATAGCTTAGCAGCATGTTTAATCTTTAACTTTACAAGGTTTGCAGAATCAACTACCCGCCCATACTCAATTGGCACGCCTTTGCACAGGCAGATGCATGAGTAGGTTCAAACATATTCCCCTGTGGCCATGAAACCAGGGACGTGTGGCGCTTAGGTTCATTCAACGATGAGGTGTGCTCGGCGTTGACTTGGCAGGTTCGGTGTGAGCCGATCTCATGGTGATTTGCAGAACGTGGACATCATCGAAGATCGTTCGGTTCGGCGCAAGTGATGTCCCAAGTGAAATCAGACAGGTTTGACTTACATTGCAAGTTTGTGGCTTGTAGCCATCAACATTGAGAAAAACATTGAGCTGAGCTGGTTTTATTTTCTCGCGGGCTTTGTAGTTATGGTTGCTTCATGTTTAAGGTCTGGGTTGCCGTCCAGATACCAAAAAGGAAAGTTCTTGGGCAAGGCAGGGCATCGTCATGCGAGCGAAAGAAGTTTGAAGTTGGGAATTGACACATTCGATGCCTGGATGTGTCGTCTACACTACTTGCAGTTTGGTTGCATTTGTTTGTTTGATTTTGGTATTGCAGTGCTTTTGTTGGTGCCTTCGCAGGGTGGGTTTGCGAAGTGCTATGAAGTTCAAGACCTGGAGTCCAAGGAGTTCTTCGCTGCCAGAGCCTTGTTTTTGGAAGCCCATGTTTCTTTTTGCATATTTCAGCAAAGTAAGCCATGCAGTGCTGAGGCCAAGATTGTTTCAAAGGCTTCGATTACAAAGCCTCGGGCACACGCAAAGCTCAGGCGGGGTGGTTGAGCTAGTTTGCACAAGTTCTATGCACCTGCACTCACAAGTTGTGGATCAAACTCGAGTTCCTTGCTGGATACACGCAATAGCCAAGCTTATGCACAAGGCAGTGTTGCAAAACAAAACAATTTTTGAGTAGCCTCAGCAGAGTTGCTGGGGTTGAAACGAGACATCTATAAGCCATTGCTGAGGAGTGGAACAGGAAAAGGAACTGGACAGAGCTGATAAAGGGTCGCACGAGAAGTGCATCATTGAACAACCAGCAAAAAGAAACCTCCAGACTGTCAAGCTTTAGTAACATTGCAAAATGAGCACGAAGGATATAGTGGAGGAAACAACGGGCAGCAGGGCGAAACGGTGAGCACCAACAAAGCAGCTTGCTGAATTGCACTCCACACAGCTTTCTCGCTAGTAACTGTCAAATTTAGTTTCACGAACGTGCCGCAGCGAAATCCTGTATAGCTGGTCCTCCAGAAAGGACAAAATCGCAGGCGAGACGAAGGAAGGTAACAGGAGCCGCACAGATTCCTAGTCAGTCAAGACAAGGTGCTTGGCGAAAGCGCCGAAGAAAGTCTCTACGTACAATTGATCTGGATTCCGCTGTCATGTCATGCAACTGCGTAGATCCGAACGGGAAAGCAAATCCGAATTGGATTTCAATGTTCATACATGTTTAGGGCTGCGTAGGCGCAGGAGCCTTTTAATCATGCCGGGGAGGCACGCCAGGCGCAAGCAACGCAAGTTTTCCCATCCTGCCTCCCATATTTTCTTTGTGATGCCTGAATGGCGCAAGGTTTTGGAGCATTGACACCCACAAGTTATTCAGGAGCAATTTGCAGATGCGTGTGGTTGACGTGCATCGGCGTGCCAAGCAATTGCATGCTTCGCCAAGGCTCTTGCGTACTTTGGTTCTTTGCACGGAAATTTGATTGCAGAACTACGACCTTGAGGTACACAGGTTACATATCTTGCTCTAGCATGCCATTTTTTCCGACTTTTTGCTCACTCGAACAAGGCTTATTCTGCAATCAAGCACTACAAACATAGTCTGTTTCTATGAAACAATGGGTATTACATAAAAAAGGACCATGTGCGAGATTAGCCAAACGGCTAGTCGCCGCAGTGGCTAAACGAGGCTAAACAAATTGATAGCCAATTGACATGATGGGAGGTAGAAACTGGGTCAATTATTATGAATTAGTTTTCTGACAACAAAATCTACTTTTACTTGTTTCCCTATTCTTTTAATAAGAAAGTATTCGGGAATCTAAAGAAATTGTATTGATGCAAAATATATTGTTTTGCTTTCGGTTTCCTTGGATGTGTGCCTCTGCAGTTCTGGGTAAGAAATGGTTCAATTGAGGTAGGCATTGTGGTAAACCTGCCCAGAGGACTACAACCTTGAGACCCTTCTTGTAGAGAAGTGGGAAACCACCCCTGCACCAAATCAATGTCAAACATCAATTGAAGGGAAGCAGTGTGGCTTGGGAAGCTGGAGTGTGGCTTTGCGTCTCACACGATTTGGTTCTGTACATGTCTCACCAGTCTTACGTTGCGTGCCACCAGTTGCTGAAGTTGCATTTGAAGTTGCAGTTTTTCAATCCTGAGCCAGATTGCACAGCATTCATCGAAAGATGGATGTTTGGCCCGGATGCTTTGCGAATTTGTTGACCAAGGTGGGCGAATGTGTTTTCTTCAGCTGACGTCATTTTTTTTGTAAAGGATGTGCTTGTGTGTTTCAGTTTCGATTCTGTGGCAGCTTCAGTTGCTGTTTGGCGTTGGACGTTTTTTGTGTGTTTTGTTTGGCCTTTGGCTGCATTTTTCATAGCTCATTCTTTCTTGTTCTGCAACTCACTCTAGGCGACTCCTAAACCCCAAACAATCCCGCACTGTGCCCTAAACCGCCACTGGACATCAATGACAAACAAACGGCTCAAGGCGTCTCTTCACGCTTCCGGATTTGATATTTGATTTGGAGGTGCTAGAATTTGGGATCTACGATTTTGATGTTGGGCTTCGGGTCTCGGATTGGGATCGTCGAGAGTGCTTGGGTCCGGCTTCCTGTTTTCGGGACTTGCGCCTGAATCCCTGTGCCTGGAGTGAGAAGTCGACCACTGTTGCCATTCCTTGCGTGGCTTTCCTGAAAGGTCCGAGATTGCAATTCACAGGGAGCTGCGGCACGAGAAGGCGGCATGTGTTTTGCAATGCAACGATTTCCGGAACAAGAGAGCGTGCCGCATTTTGAGGTGGTGAAATTTTACGACTTCTTTGAGGACACGAAGCAGACTAAGCCGAGCAACTTTATTGTGGTGTAGCTTGCGGCAGGACCAGGAGCATGTTTACATCATGCTCGAAGTGTGCGAAGGGCTCACTCAAAGAAATCTGCTGATGGGTACAGAAATTGATAGTCTGAGCCCCAGGCCCCAATCAGACCTTGAATGAGTTCATGCGACGCCGCCCAGCCAAAAGACTCTCTGAACAAGAGGCCTGCTATGGCTGTCAGTGTGCTCAGTCCATGCTGGAATCTGCCAATGTTTGCAACCCAGCCCGGGTTGTGCTCAGAGGCGATCTTCTATAATTACGATCTGATCCTCGCTCTTCAGTACCTGCATCGCCGAAGAATCATTCACCGCGACTTGAAGCCTGCTACCCAAGTCATCAGACATGTGCGAGAACCGATTTGGCATTCAGTCAAGTACCTCGCATGAACGTGAGCCATATTGATAGCCTGTGTGATAGCCTGTGGCTGATACTGATGCTGTTTAGCTGAGAGGTTGAAGGTTTTTGCTTCAGGCTGGGAAACCTTTTCCTAGACAAGAATATGCGGCTGAAGGCACGGACCTTGTATTAGGAGGTGTTTGCATCAGCCAAGCTGCCCAAGCTGCAAGAGCCTATTTTGGGACAACATGTATTTGTTTAGGACTGATATTGAAGTTGTACTAGATCGTTGCTGTGCAATGTACAAGGTTGGCGACTTTGGGCTTGCAGCCCAGCTGGAGTTTTCTGGCGACAAGAGAAGGACGATTTGTGGTCGCACTCTCGGCTCTCTATCCGCTCTAGCCTTTAACGTGAGTGCAAGGACGCTCGCTCAGGTACGCCAAACTACATTGCGCCGGAAATTCTCGAAGGCAAGCACGGACATTCCTTTGAGGCCGGATGATACACACCGAATGGAGAACAGTCATTTGGCGCGAAGGTGGACATTTGGTCTCTCGGCGTCATTGTCTACACCATGGTCTTTGGCCGTCCGCCCTTTGAGACATCAGACGTGAAGACTACGTGCCCTCCTTTCTTATGTTATTGCAGCAACTTGTGCTTTCGAGCCTGTACACGATTCTCTGGATGCTTTGCTCATTTCACTTTGTTTGTGCGCTGCGGTGAGGTATAAGAAGATTAAAAACAACCAATACGTCTTTCCAGAGGCAGTTCGAGTTTCCATGCAGGTGAAGGACTGCGCTGGTTCGAGCGCGTTGTGTCAGCTTCCTCGTTGTATGCTGCAGAGGGATGCCGGGGAACCATCTATAAGCGCAGAGGCGTTTTGCTCGTCGACCTGACATTGCAGTTGTCAGGAGATGCTCAGACATGATGCTGAATGTTGTGGTGACATTAACACAAACTGCATGCGGCAACATGCCATTGAGAAAAACACACTGAACTATTGGTGAGCTTCTCACTTGCACCTTTGTCCATTGTTTGCCTTTGGATGCTTCATAGCTTGAAGAAATTGCAGGAGAGCCCCCGCCCTCAAAATCTGCTCGTATGCAGTCGCTGGCAAGGTGGCTTTTTCCAGAGTTTTCAGAAGCTTTGGAGAGCTCGATTGATCCCCAATGTCCGGCACCAGACTTTGATCTGCGCTGCGACTCGCTTCTCCAGACTTTACTGATTGATATCATTTCCCCGCACACAAGGTTGTTTGTCCGCGCGCGTGCAGCTGTCCCAACTTGCGAAGATCGCTGAGAGGCCGACGTTGACTCCTTTGAAGCTTTGTTGTCCAAGGGCCTCGGTCGGGATTGGGGCACCTCGCTCCATGCGCTGCTCCCTTGAGGTGCTCTTTCTGGAGGTTGCTTGTTACTTGTTTCCCTTGAACAAATTTTGTACGCCTCATTCGCTTGTTGGATATGGCGCCTGTTCGCCATGTGTTCGTTGTTTATTGGTCAGGCAGCGACGGACTTGTGCATTGGGAGAAAGGTGACGTGTTCACCCTCCCCACTGGTAGCTCAGCATTGTTTCGTCTCATGGAGCAACCTCGGTGCCCCAAGATGGTCCTCTATGAGACACAACGAGTTCTGTTTCGTCGGTCAATGCTGGCGGTTGTCCGGTCAACGGCAAGTGCTCCCAGAGCCATCAAAAGCAATTTCGGAATGCAAAGCCGATGAGCTTGCAATACTGACAAATGCTCATATGTTCATTCATGTCATAAGGGCATGCGGTCGAAATAGATTTCCACGGAGTCCTGTAGAATTTTGCAACCAATTTGAAATTGCGAGCAATGTTTAATTTTTCAGGATCTGTTGTAGTAGCCCCGGGGATTACACCTTGGAGAATGACCCAACATTGTCCGAAACGACAAACTTTTGTCCGGACACCAACCCGCCAAATATGGGGTGCAATCCAGGGTGCAGTACAGAAATCCCTTCACAGGCATGCCACCAACTACAAAACGCCGGTCCATGACGGAGGAAACATAATATGTCCAGATCCAACTTTGATTAAGTCAGCCATCAACCTCCTTCAAATTTAGATTCAGCACTCACCGATATTCATGCTGGAATTTCTATCTGATTGACTATTACTGAGTGAGCATCTATCACGGACGAATGCTAGAATCTGCACAACATTTCAAAAACGGCCAGTCCTAAGCGCGACTACTTGTTGCTCGGCAAAGTGCCTGGGCAAAAGCTCAGTGCAGTCTTGCTTGGCTGCTGGACGCCCAGAGAGCAAGTTCGTGCATTTTTCTGCGATGAACACACCTGCCTTTATGTTGTGGCCAGCTGCGGTTGACACGTATCAACTGCACAAGCATTCCTGTCTTTCTTGACACACTCGTGCATTGTGGTGCCAAGCAAGTGCTCTCTGGCTACTCTGCTAGGCAGCAGGAGCAGAGATTAGGGGGATTCTCATGGGCTGCCTCCATGCTGATCCCAAACATGCTCATTGCTTTGATTTGCTGATGCGAGATCCTCAATTCGGCCGTGTTTTCATCTTAGTGGTATTTGGCGTTCACGTTGCAGGTTGATTCCGTTAATTCGCTTAGCACTTGAGCGAAGCTGGTTTGTAGTCATGCCCGTGGTTGTTGTCCGGACATCAAATCAGGTCTTGTGATGTCGGTCTCTCATGACAGTTTTTAGTGGAAGCTTTGGTCACGGATGGACCTGCGTTGCTGCCACAGCTGGGAAACGCTGGTACACAGTGCAGTTTTCTTTTCGGATACATCAAGGTCATGAGTTTGCTTGTAAAAATGCTCCAATTCCCCGGTTTGCGTATCAGCTCGCTTTCAGCCTGCCGTTGACCATTCTGGAGAGAAAAGCTGCAAAGTGAGTGCGTTTGAAATTGGAGGCAGTGTGCTGTCTCATTCCGTTCCAGAAAGCGCATCGAAGCCAAAGTTTCGATATCCAAGCTTCGATATCCTTTTTCTTGTGAAGGCAATTTGATTGTAAGTTCGGATTGCAGGACTTGATCCGCCGGATCCTGCAGACAGATCCTTCGTGTGACCCTCAATAGTTCAAAGGGCACCGTGTGGAAAGTTGCACTTGTGTTGCTTTGGATCAGGTGTTGGTGTAAAGCAGCACTTCAAACAAAAACGAGCTGGGGCAGCTGGGGCTGGGGGAAGTCTTAGGACAAGACCGAGCTTGGACGACATACTGGCCTGCCCGCTAGTTGTAGATTTGTGGCTGTCTGCGAGCGAGATATTTTGTGCAGAACTCGAGCTGGTTCTGCACAAGCAGGGTGCCACCGCCAGCACCTTGAAGTCCATTACATGAAGCTTGTCTTGTTGTGTCATTGCATGAAGCTTTCACCGCAGGCCAATGCCTGATAGCGTGAGTTCTTGCTCCGCTTCACCACGACTGCAGGCCGGCTTTCGCATTTTGGCGCTTGGACATGCCAGTCAAGTATAATTCGTTGCCTGCCTGAGAGCAGCGTCCTGTTGCCGTGAAATCAAGCAATCTATTCTTTTGTGAAGCCGCACTCCGGTGGGATTCTTGCAAGCTCGGTCAATTGGAATAGCCAGCAGCCAGAATGTCCATTTGGCATTTGTTTTTACACATGTTCAATGATAAACCCGAAGGTGATGCCCACTTACGGAGGCTTGGTGCCCAGGCTTCTTTGTATTGCAGGTTGCACCTTGAAGGCTGACAACAACAACATGTTGGTCTTGTTTGCGTTGCCTCGCTGATTTGAGGTTTGACACCTGTTTTGTCTGCAAGGCAGCCCGGGCGGCAGACTTACATGGCTTACATATTTAGCAGTGCCTGTTCTTAGCTTTCTCAGCGCAAGCTGCATTGGCATTGGTGTGCCTTCAGGCTGTCGCCTATCCACACTCCCTTGCCAAGCACGCCGGGCAGATGTCAGCAGCAAGGTGCCATGCTTTTGCAACTTGCTTGTTTACTATTTGACTTAGAACATAGTGTCGTTGTTGGATCACGAGTGGCATTGCTTCTCGGCTTTTTGCCTGCTAGGTCGACCACCTCTTGCCCAGCGCGGCAACAAGGCTCGTGTGCTTTCTATGAGCTCTTGAATGGCTCGACTGGCATCATGCTTTGTAGATACCATCAGCACATTATGCACAACATGGTCCCTGCTCGTCTGAGAGTTGGAATTGACGACGTCTATTGGATGTTTGCATGTTGCTCGGTAGTGAACTGATCCGCTGGAAGGCCTACCAATGGGTTTTGAATCATTGATGCTTTTGTTTTCGGCTTTGTCATGATGGCCATCATTGTCATTGTCGCTGTGGTTGTCATTGTTGTCGTTATCGCCAATTTTGGCATCGATCTGCCGAGGTAGCGCACACACAGAAATAACAACGGCCCCAGCTGGTGTTTTGCAAGGTACCACAGCCTATGGCTAGCAAGTGTCGTTTGGGGATTCTGCAGGTTTATTGCCAACACAGGAGAACATTGTGCCGAACTACGGCAATGCCACTGATGTCAAAGAGAATATCAACTATGTGGGCAGCTTTGCGTCGGAAGCTCATGATCATTCTTGGAACCAAAGAATTCAATTACACACCGGATTTGCGGCAGGCCCTCCTGCAATGGCACATTTGGCCAAAATAGGACGCTAAGTTCAGCGAGGCCAAGCAAATGGCATGCTTTTTCGCATGCTTTTGCGAGTACAGCGCACACATTTGTTGCATTTCTGCATGATAAGTTGCCATTGCCAGAGACATTCAGCAGTTTGGGTCTAAACACTAAGCTTCAACAGCCAAAGGGGGCCCAAGGGGATAGCTGACGCCCCTTAACCGGGAGCTGCCATTCATTGAGATTGTTAACAAAATCACTTGCAATTCCCCGATTTATTTGCAAACTCCACAACTATTTATAACGCATGCAGCATGTCAATCGCAGGCTGGGTGACAGCGCACGGCGGGAGCCTTTGTTTGCGATGCGGGCAGATCACACAGGTGTCATAATCTGAGCCAGGATTCTGGACAGTCCAAGCACTGGGGCTACGTTTGGTCCAGGCAAGATGTATGATCTAACGTAGTTTGAGCAGAGGTTCAACAGGCACTTGTGTGACACAGACACACGCACACACACACACACACTCATCCTTTTGCACAAAGTTGCTTGCACCACTGCAAAGCTATGATAGGTTTTCGGCCAGCATGTTAAAGGGTCGTGTTTGCCCCAGAGTAAGAGCAAAAGCATGACCAGGCATGTTGCACTGCTTCTTTTGACTACTGGACAATAATTGAATCTCAAATGCCGAGCTGTAGTTGGGCTGATGACAAGATGGAGGACCTTGCGCAGAAAGCAGAGCGATTTTATGTCGCAGGTTGAAAGGGGCTGACAGGGCTGCAGAGGGTAAGAACCAGCCACCTATGGCCTACCATATGTTGTTTTTGGTTGGGTGACGTGTCCATTTGGCAAACACATGGAATGGCAGGGTCAAACAACAACCAAATTATTGTCGCAGGCCTTCCTGAAGAATGTGGGAACTCCAGTGCTAGGCATGGCTGAGTGAGTTGCATGTCATTGACAATCGGTTGCCTTGACTGGTGGAGGCATCAGTCACCTCGTCGCCTGGCCACACTCGCCTTTTTCTGATGCCCTGTAGTAGAGACATGACAAAGACGTGGCAGGAACGAGGCAGAAGTCTGTCCCCCGCAGTTGTCAACTCCGAGGCGTGAGTTAGGGAACTGTGAATGGAGTAGGCACTACGAGTCATTTTGTGCACTCTTGTTGGGCACCTAGCAGGTGGTGACTCCGCGTGATGCCGAGCACTCGGCAGCCAGTAAGATATGATTTCAATAACATTGACCATAGTTGTTTTTTTGTTGTTGTGGCTTCCTTCCTTTGTGTCTTTAGTTTTTCCTTTCTTTCCGTCCTCATTTTTTGTTCATTTGTTTTTACTCTTTGATTCCTTCTTTGATTCCTTGTTTGATTACTTCTTTAAGTCTTTGTTTCTCTGCCTGTGCGCGATTGCTTGTTTGTTTGCTTCTTTGCTTGTTTGCATGTTTTGCCTGCCCGCCTTGTTGCCTGCCTGCTCGTTCGCTCGCTCGCTCGCTCGCTTGTTTGTTTGTTTGTTTGTTTGTTTGTTTGTTTGTTTGTTTGTTTGTTTGTCTGTGTGTTTTTGTGTGTTTTTGTGTGTTTGTGTGTGTGTGTGTGTGTGTGTGTGTGTGTGTGTGTGTGTGTGTGTGTGTGTGTGTGTGTGTGTGTGTGTGTGTGTTTGTTTGTGTGTGAGTGTTTTTGTGTGTTTGTGTTTTTTTTTTTTTTTTTTTTTTGTGTGTGTGTGTGTGTGTTTGCGTCTATTGTTCTGAGTGTCTGTGTGTTTGTGTGTCTGTGCGTATCATATGAGCGGGCAGGTAGAGGCATTTTGCAAATAGATGTAAAGGCATGTAGGAAGAGAATGGACAGACAGACAGAGATAGACCGATTGACAGATAGATAGACAGAAAGGTGATAGAAGTGTTCGCGAAGCCAGACGCAGCAAGCGCGCAACTACGGTAGCACAGCGAGGCAGCCTAGACTTCGCGCAACTGCGAACGCAGAGCGGTGCGCAAGCAGAGCGCGAACTCAGATTGCAGCTTGCAAAGGTTGTCGCGAAGCTGTCGTTCCAAGGAACGACGCGTGCCAGAAGGGCGCTAAAGGAACTTCCCGACCTCCAGCGTTGCTGCAATCTTTCGTATGCTGCCTTGAAGTCTTTCTGCAACTAGGTTTCTGTTCTTTTTACATCTTGCGACAGAGAATGAGACTGGAGACAGGAGTCATGGAAAGGTGTAGAAGCAGGCCAGCCCAGGGCGCGACAAGGCACTAGGATGTGGCTTGGATATGTAAGGACCGCCGCTATTTGCAGCCTCTTTCCTTTGGTGAGACATCACTCTTTCGCGTCCCCAGCAGCACCCGCGAGGACTAAGGCGACATTTGAACTCTACATAAGAAAATTATGACATGACGATGACGACGACGATGACAACGACGATGACGACGACGATGATGATGATGTTGATGATGATGATCATGCATTGACATCCGCAGCATCTCCAGCGAGGCCTACCGTGACATTTTAATTCTATATGACCCGTGGCACTCCCATGTGCCTCCCTTTTCAAGAGGGGTCGGCGGAGTTCACCGCAAAGGCAAGGGGACAGTTCCAGTTGTTTGGAGGGTTGCCTCTTGGTGGCCATCCATTTTTGTTTGCTGGCCTGTCTGTCTGCCATTTTTTTTTTGCTTGTGTGTTTGCTTGTTTCTTGCCTGTTCGCTCGTGTGTGTGTGTGTGTGGTTGCTGGTTTGCCCGTTTGCCTCGCCTGCCAGCCTGCCCGCCTTCTTGCCTGCCAGCTCGCTCGCTCGCTCGCTCGCTCGCTTGCTTGCTTGCTTCTTTGTTTATTTGTTTGTTTGTGTTCCTGTATGTTTCACATTCTTTTCAGCAGTTGCATCTCTATTCGTTTATTTGCATGTTCGCTTCACAACAATTTTGGCTTTGCTCGTTGTTCCTCGATCAGCTCTATGCTTTGCACGCATCCTTGGGCTATCAGCTCGGTGCTGCCAAACGCCCTGTACGTCTTTCGTGCCGGCCACGCGCTCCCAGTTTCATTTATCCCAGCTCGGTCTCGCGCTGAAACAGTTTGTTTTTCCCAGTCGGAATAAACATGGCCTGTAAAGACGGCTTGGGTTTCACCCAAATCCTGATGCTAACAACACACAATGTTAACCCTGTTTGAGCGGGCTCTACATTTAACAGCTTAGGTGCCAGTGCTGCAGGTCTTTGGTGCTGCTCAGTTCAACCAACAAACTCAGCTTTTTCCCCTGCACAGCTTCTTTGCTGGCTGGATCTAACAAATTCATTTGTCTCTTAGCCTGGCCAGCTGCTGGATGCTTTGCGGGTGTCGGGCGGGCGCTAAGTCCGCGGCCGGCGGTTAGGTGCTTTCTCACTCTCTCTTTCTTTCTTTCTTTCTTTCTTTCTTTCTTTCTTTCTTTCTTTCTTTCTTTCTTTCTTTCTTTCTCTCTCTCTCTCTCTCTCTCTCTTTCTTTTTCTCTCCTCTCTCTCCTCGCGCTTTCTGCGCTGATCATTCCTTTTGGCAACTTTATTTGTTTTTCAGCCAGCCCAGCTGCCAGATTAGCACTGCAACCATGAAAATATCTCTGAAATGGAGATGGCACGCGCGCGAGAGCGACTGGCATGTTTCCAGCTTGTGCTTGGGAGCGCAAGGCCTTCCGACTCAACACAGCACGAAAGGCAGAAGCACTGCTTGACATGGAATTGAGACTTGGATGATTTGTAGGCTTCAGAGTTCATTTCTGATCGGCCTCCTCCACGTGCGGAGGCAGTGCAAAGCGCAAGGAGTTCACGAGGGAATGTGTCGAAACCAGAGGTCCTTTGGGATGGTTTTGAAAGGGGCGGATGTAATGAAAAAACTATCTGGACAAGCCCCTAGTTTTGACACACAGCCATTTCTTGCTGCTTGTTTCTGGACAGGGACACGTTGGCAGTCACTCTACCATGCCTGAAGTTTGGGTCCTGGCCTCGGTTCCAGAATTCATTGGATGTGGCCACACAGTCAAAGAACAGGTGACCAAATGGGTGGACTACGCAAGCAAGCAACCCGTCCGTGATGATATGCATCGTCCTATCTTTGGGATGTGCAATTGTATGATGTTTGCTTTTGCTTGAAGTAGCTCCATGAAGATGCATTCTCCGGGAAGGCTTGTGATCTCAGGTATGGCGTGGGCTACATCCTCTCTGATGGTTCCATTGGTGTGTACTTCAATGATTCGACGAAAATAGTGCTGGCAGGAAACTCGGGTAAATTGTAGTGTTGTGTTCGAGTGTGCAGATCGGCAGGTGGGCTTCACCTCAAGAGGCCAACATTGTTTGCCGAATAAAGTCTGCATCTAGGTCCCAAACGGCGACCGATTTGACTACATAACGCCCTCGACTGAGTGTAGAAGACAAAGAGAGAGGGAGAGAGGGACACAGAGATGGGGACGAGGCTTGAACTGAATATCATTTGCACGGGTTATTGTGCACTGATGTTGAGGCGCAGAATGCAGGACAAGCCTGAAGAGAGAAATACATATTCCTGGGAAAGCTATCCAGAGGCCAGCCTCGAGTGCCGTGCCTTTGTCAGTTTAATCAGTGAAGGAGCTGAAGAAAAAGGTGACACTCCTTCGAAACTTCAAGAACTACATGATGACAGATGCATTGGAGCGCAAGGACCTGTTGAACATGCTATGGCTGCGGCAGCGCAGAGCCTTTTCAATTGGGCAAAACAACAGACCGCCAGGGCCGACTCGATCATCTGTGTACATGAAGGGATGTAGAATTAGACTGTGTAATTGAATTGCCCAATGGGATAGCCAAGCAACAGACAGCCTCAAAGCGCACTCGCAGTTATGCAACTGACTAGAACATTTGCGACTCTCATGGATCACAATTCCAGACTACGGGCCTGGAAGATGGTAGGTGGCCGTAACCGGCATCCCAGGGAAGACGCGCCCTCCGGATGGTTTCAGTGAGCTTTTTTGTCACAGTGTTGTGGTTTTATGTCTTTTGCGTCACTACTACTTTCCAGCAATGCAGTGTGTCATTCTGGTGTTTTGTCAACAGACAACGGCTTGAGACGGCCCTCCGGGTTGCCTATGAAGAAGCCCGCTATGAGCATATTTGACCTTGCCCCAGACCGCTGTGGCAGGTTGCTGTTTGCCGGCGAGTGTAGATCTCTTTTGCCCTCTCGCTTTCTAGACACGTGCATGTCGAACAAAAGATACGTATATCGGCTCGGGACGGATCGTCGCTGTGTGCTACGGCATTTTGCGTTCACACATCCATACCAAGCAGCAATTATCCATCTGTTTGTAGCACCACCCAATTGTCAATTGTCATATGCCCGGCTTCGTTCGCCAGCTTCGCCCAAGAGAAACTGCCAATCACCACAATCCAATCCAGCGCATGCAGCAAGCGCTGGGCGCAAAGATGTAAAATCATCCATCACTATCGAGGCGAAGGCTTCAACATCAGGTGGGGCAACACCAGGATGCAGTATCACAATCATATCAGTTGAAGTGTGTGTCCACCATTCTTGGCCCCAACAAAGCAGAAGCAACACGTGATGTTTGAAGCAATGGTGAACCATCGTTGCGGCAAGTCTGTGTGCATATGTATATGTATATATATATATATATATCTATATATATATATATATATATATACACATGTAGACCTGCGCTCGTCTCTCAATGTGTACATTTTCACTCCTAGATTTCTGTGACGGTGCAGTTCCACTCGAACATTTGCAGGATGGAGCTTCAGCCGGAACCTCGAGCTTGAAGAACACCGCAAAGACAAAGGCTTTGGGATTTGTGTTTTGCAGGCTGTGCTTGTGCTGGCAAAGTGACCTGTAGTCACTTTGAGTCAGGCAAACTATGGAGCGGGTCAGGTGCCCTTTGTCGGCGCCTTTGTAAGCGCAACGATGTGGACGCAAGATCAGACACCGCACTTGTTCCACTAAAAGTGAAAGCGCAATCACTTTTGGTTGTTGCCGTTGAGACTGCCTTTTGCCCTTGTACGTGTCTTGAACTTGCAGAGGTCAAAAAGTGGACCCGTAACAAGCACGCCATCATGTTTCAGCTGAGCAACAAGATTGTGCAGGCCACGGTGCGAGTTGCATGTTTTCTGTTGCGATGCCGACAACAGTGGTGGCTCAGGTGATCTTTTTTGACAAGACAGAAGCTGTGCTGTCTTCAAAATTGCACACGGTGACCTACATTGACAAGAAGGGGCAGGCAACCATTGCCTGTTTGGTGGGCCCCTTTGTTCGGGAGGGCGGGGCGCCGCGCGAGCTGAGGCTCTCCACGCAAACATAGGTCTGACTAGTGGTTGGGAAAAAAATGCTGGCGTCTGCATATGCAGACACAATGTGTTTGTATGCGTTTGAGATGCTTTCACCCAACGGTTTTTTGCTGTAGGCGGGGGGGTTGGGGCTTGTCGGATTGGGTTCCAAGGGGTCCGGTTTGGAGCCACTGGTTGCTGTTGCGGATATCACCTGCGCTCATTCGCACGGAAATCACAGTCCCGGCTTGCCCCCGCTGGTGGATCAAGGCATTGGGCTTGCAACCAAAGGTGCTGCGTGGCAGGTCGAATCGTACCCGCTCACCAATGCCTTTGACGTACCTAGTGCTGAGCTGGCAAAGCGGCTTCGGTACACCAAGGCGGGAGGTGTCCTGAAATTTAGCCACAATAAATCTGCAGGTTGGTAGCACAATAAATCTGCAGGTTGGTAGAGTAGAATGAATTATAAACACGTGTGTCGTGGTGAAAAGGCCACTTGTTGTTTGCCATGGCCAAAGCAGAACGTGAGAACTTGTGAGGGACAACTCGACTTCAAAACCTTATTTGTGAGAAGCTGGCTCAGGATATTTTGGTGAATTTGCTTGGGTCGCGACTCCCTTTTGGACTTCCGACCATGGTGGCTGCACATCATCGAGATTGCTGAGATTATGAGACTCTGCTTTGCCAGCCATACTGCAGTTTCCAGAAGCGCAATTACACAGGGACTGCCAGGTTGATTGAAGGCGCATGTTCAATAGAGTTACAAATTCCACAATGAAGCGCACTTCAGCATGATCGTAGACTGTAGATGATCAGATGCAAGTAGTACAAGGATTGTTCCAACTTGGTTCGTGTGTTGGAGCGTCATTTTTTCCTATTTAGTTGTTTTTCTTCTTTTGTTTGTTTGTTTGTTTGTTTGTTTGTTTGTTTGAGTTCTTTATTGATTGATTTGATTGATTGATTGATTTATTGATTGATTGATTGGTTGGTTGGTTGATTGATTGATTGATTGGTTGGTTGGTTGGTTGGTTGGTGGCTTGTTTTGTCGGCTCTGGTTGGTTTGTCGGCTCTGGTTGGCTCTGTCGGCGTATGGCTGGTCGTAACATTTTTTGCAGATTGTTGGCCTACCCTGCACCCACCTAAAGCAAGCCTAAACCGACCTACCCTTAATCGACCCTAAACCGATCCTAAACCCACCTGAATCCCGACCTTCAACCAACCTTCAACCAACCTTCACCCGCCCATCCTATACCAGTGGGCCACCGGTGATGCTCGTGGTGCCAAGGTGATGCTTGCAGTATTTGTGATGATATTGCAACATACATGAACACTTGTTTGAAATTCCGGCAAAGAGCACCTTGTCACCCAGGGAGCATGAAGCAACACAAGCAGACAATGGCGAATACAACTTCTGCCTTTTGTTTCTGGTCATTGAGTGCAGGTCCCATCAATCCCAGTTTATTTGGCTTATTCGTAGCGTGCATGTCCTACAAGACTGTCACCGAGTTCTCTTTGGCCCAGTTTGATGTTGTGGCTGATATGCTAGCAACTCCTTTTGCATTTGTCCTTTTTTGGGTGTGGGCGCAATTAAACAAGCTGTTCCTCGAGTCCCGCGCTTAAACACACTTAGCTAATTATAGAGATCACTTTGGCTTTTCTTTTGCGCCCCAACCACCTAACATACTATGCAACCAACCTACGCCTGCCATTTTTGCGATGTGCACAACAAGGACTTTTTGGCATTCAACAAGGCGACTCGGGCTGAGTGGAGCCATAGGATCGAATTATTTTCCGATTGATGGCTCGCTATCCTGCCAAAGTACAGAGCTTGAACGGTTTTGGGGGACTCCGGGAGGTTTCTGCTGTTTGGATAGCGAGACGATGTTGGGGCCGGGCCGTGCAGTGCTGAGAAATGAGCTTCAGATGCTCTTGATCTGCGCCTGGCCACACTAATTCGTGCACAATTCAAGAATTCGTTGCCAGAAAGAGGCAAACAGAAGAGAAGGGCGCGAAGCAAAGTCCTCAAGCTTTGCGGGATCAACAACTGCTGAAGGAACTTCGTTGGTGGTCAGCACCGCTATTTCTCGGGTCACTCAATTACCTAAATCCAGACCTCAGACCCCATCGGCAACCAAGGGCGGTTTATGGTCACGGGGTCACGCAGCCCAGCCCATTCCCATGCCCACACATTGGCATGGCTCTTGGAGACTATGTTGCTCAAGTCATGTGGGTTGCTTTGATTACGAGGCTTTCTCGAGCTAGCATCCAGTTGTAGACTGGTGATGCTGAAGCAATCCAGCTAGAGGTGTGCTGGACACATGAGTCACAATCAAAGCCCGGGTAGATGAAGGTGTAAGGGATAATCCCAACCATGTATGGGTGCAGCCGTCATTTATGTTTTTCATGGTTCTAGATACACCATGTTCCTGGTTTATGATTGTGACTCACATGTGGTGCTTGAGTTCGATCCCTGTCTTATTGCAGCAATGCTTGGCTCAGGAAATCACCCCAATGCCAAGTGCGCCCTCCATATGCCGTTGCTGCCATATTGCAGCATTTCTCGGTACCGTTCGCAATGACAATGGAGGCCCTTGTGGAGTTGAACCATGATGAAGAGTTTGAATGCGAGGAAGAACTGCCTGGAGTGCGGCTTTTGCAGTCAAGTCTAAAATTGCACAGGTCAACGCCAGTGAACACGTTGCAGGAGCTTGCACTTGCTTTTGGAGGCTCTCCACAGACGCAGCATTCAGCTCCTCTAATGTTTCTCGTTGCCGTCATGATTTGCCTTATTCTGGCTTGCGCGTTGCGGCAATGTTGTCGCCGACCCAGCACCAGCGGACCCAGTGGTGCAAAGCCCAGCATTGCCCTTGGCATATATGCAATACTCTTCACGCAAACGCTGAATGCGTTGGCTACAATGGTGGTTTTGCCCACGCTGCCTTTTTTTGCAATGAAGCTTGGCGCTTCAGCACTGGAAGTGTCCCTGATGAATTCGGCGTACAACCTGGCACAAATGTTTTGCTCGCCGCTCATGGGCACATTATCCGATCGAGCAGGCCGGAAGCGCGTCATGCTTCTGGGAATATTTGCGCAAGTCTTGTGCAATGGCTTCATGAGCCGCGCGCATTCAATGACGCAACTGATGCTTGCACGGATGGCGGTCGGAATGGCTTTAAGTACTGGGCCTGTGGAGATGGCGTACATCATGGATTTCTTGCACTCCGAGGAAGATTTGAGTCGTGTTCTGGCATTGCAGCGAGTCATGACAAGTGCTGGAGCACTTGCTGGGCCACTTGTGGCCCGCAGCTTCGACAAGCTGTCATTCCATTCCTTATGCCGTGGAGTGATGGCGATTAATCTCTTTAATCTCATTGTGGGTTTTTTTCTCTGGGAGGATGCAAAGAATGACAAAGCTAAGACACTTGCAGATCTTGACGAGGGTGAAACTGCTGATGCTGACAAAGGTTTGGCTGATCCCTTGCGGACAATGTTTGCAAATCAAGCTGCTTGTGGACTTCTGTTGGTATCCTTTGTGTACGCACTCGGCTTTGCAATCGGTGATGGACCAGAGATGGTTTTCTTCAAAGAGCGCTTCAGCTTTGGCAAAGACCAAGCCTGCATCTTTTACTTGCCCCTTGACAAAGTCGAATTTGTACCATGCCAGCTTGCCGGATGCTTCAACCGTCCAAACTGAACTGAGGCTCACTAACGTATCCACGTTGGTGTGCTCTGTGCCTTGGATGCAAGCTGCGTATTTTTTGAACCTTTTCAAGTGCCACAGCAAGGCCTGGGTACCAGCATTTCTGTGCCTTGGCTGGAATTAGCATACATTCTAAAGGAGCATGGTCAAGCAAGTGTAGTTTTGCCTTGATTGGCCAATGCCCAGGAAGAACTTCGGGGCCTTAACGCTGTGCATTGTCAGCCGCTCAGAGCCCCATGCACTGAACGTCCAAGATGGAAGAAAACTTGCATGAGTTTATAAGACTACATGTTTGCCGCCCCGCGCCCCGTACTTAGCATTGAGCTCTGGCTGGCCAAGCCGCTCATAGGTTGTCAATGGCCTAAATCTTGCATGACCCAACCCAACGTGGCCGAACTGAGCACCAATGTTAATTAGGGGGCGCAGGGCAAGTTGTAAAAATATGGCATGGATCAGTTGAACAATCACGACCCCTTGACCCCCAAAGAGGTACCCCAGAAGGTTTTGCATGCATGTGATGTTGGAGGCCCCGTTGACTGTATGAATACATGTCGAACGGCAATGCCCGTTTGGCTCAAGACCAATGCCCATCAGTCAAGCAGCGCCTACCGGACTGGGGTTAATAAGGGTCCCGGTTTCTGGTTCGCTGTGTTTCTTTCCCTGTTGAGTGGTTATCAGCCGTAACTGCTTTTTGGGATTAGGCCCCCTCAGTCCGGTAGTCAGCGGCGCACTTTGTGCATGGACCCGGCTCCGCCTTCTCGGCCCGAGGACAGAGGGGCGGGTGGGTTCATCGTCGAAAGCTTTATTACGAGGCTTTCGACGAGCTCACCCGTTGGGCCTGGCGGGAGTTCAAGGTTGGGGTGGCAAAGGTCCTCTGGAAGGAAGCTTCGGACTTGCATCGGGGCTCCCTCCTGGCGTGGCAAGCAGATTTTACCAATCAGAGCTATCGGCATCTCCGGGACATCTACCCCGACCTCTACGACGCCGTCATCGCCCGAGGCCGACATCAACCCATCCCACTCCTACAACGGGCACAGGCCGCAGCTCAAGGCGCGGCGGGGCAGGCTTCCGCACCAGCTCAGCCACAACAATCAAGCACCCCATCAAGTCCGTCCTCCACAACAACTGTGTCCACCATCACCAAGGCTGCAGCTCCAAGCGCAGCGCCAGAGCTGCAACTGAGCCGTCCCTCTTCCTATCCGCCTACAACTGCGGGCAGGGGGAGATATACTGCTGCAGGGAGGTCCTCATCGCGGAGGAAGAGGACACCACCGGCAAGGCATCAGCCTTCCCTTGCACCGGCACGGAAGGCGTCATCCCGACGCCCAAGATCAAGAACTCCTCTCAGGGCTGCAGCTCGAAGCGCAGCGGGGTACCAGGAGCACCAGCTCTTCGACACCTCCGGCTTCATCCCTGAGTAGCCGGCCGCTGACTCTTGCGCCGGCCAACTGCGCCTACCCTACAACCCGGGTTGACCGGTACGAGGGCGCCCCAAGACCTACACATCGGGCGCCGCATCCACCGCCCTCAGACCACCCGTGCAACCTGCCAGATTCCTACTGGCGTCGTCCATCGAGGGTGGAGTCCTCATCCAACCCTCCACAACAAGGTCACGGGAGGGCCGACTACTACGACCTGCCACCTCCTTAAAGGTCAGCGCGCGCCGTGTACTCAGGTCTGGCGGCCTTCAACCCGGACAGGGTGTACGAAGCTGAGCAGGTAAGCGTCAAACGACCTGCGCCTGCCGGGCGCGACTCATCCACAGCACCCGCAACAAAATCCGCCCGTGTGGTTTTTGCCAAGCGGGAAAGCAAGGTCAAGGCGCCCCCACAGAGCGTACTCGACCAGGCAGCTGCGGATCGCGCTGCGTCGAAGGCCATCCCCCCACCGCCGCTACGAGCACCACCCGCACCCCGAGCACCAGTGCCAAGGGCTGCAGCTCTCAACGCGCAGCGTCGGTCCAAGATCGATCAGTGGGGCAAAACGGCCTGAGACGCCGCGCAAAGCCCACAAGCGGGCACCACCCTCACCGCCGCCACAGGTGAGGTTCAAGGCCCCACCGGCGCCCAAGTTGCCGGGCAAGCAGCCACCAACTGCAGCAGCCAAGGGCCCTGTCCCCAGCGACGGGCAGTTCGGTGCGCCTCAGCAAGACGCGAGGCAGCCCATCGTCGTCTGCCTGGACTGGCGCAACACCCTCGACATCTCGGTCGAGCCTGACGGTGCGCCAAAGGAGTGGCTGCGAAGGCACTATCCAAGTTGTACCGCAGTCACTACCCCATTCAATTCCGCATCGTCAGCTACAGCCAGGCCCGGGACACTCGGGAGAGCACCCTCCGGTTTGCCACCCAGTTTTCCGACGTGTGCAACAACGCCATTGACGGCTTGGGCACACTCCCGTTCGGAGAAGTTGTCCTGACCTGGAAACGGGTCGGACAATCAGGCAAGGCTGCAGCTGGGGGCGTGCGCCATCGTGGACGACAACAACTCCGTCCTCAAGGAGTGCCGCGCCGCAGGCGCCCTCGGCACAGGTTGGCGAGACGCCAATCGAGCGCTCTACGACGCGCTGGACGAGCTCCACGAGTTCCTCAACCAGCACCGACGCCTACTCCGCCCTGCCAGGGTACTCGACCAAAACGAGTACCTCGAGGAAGTTGGCCGCCGCCCTCACTCTGCAAGGGGCGGCCACGGACTTTTTCGGTGACCTGGCAGTGCCGGAGGCTGCAGCTCAAGCGGCAAGTGCACCGGTTTCCAAGACCGGTCAAGTGCACCGGTTTTCAACACCGGTTGTAACAAAAGTTTTTCCAGGCCGCAGCTTGAAGCGCGGTGTGTCAGCATACGTGAGCCTGACCTTGTGTGAAAGGTGCATCCGACATGGCGTCAGGGATTTCCCCACCTTCGGATGATAGGTCAAGGTCAACCCCTGGGGGAGAATCTAATGAGGAAGACCCTGAACTAGGTGATGTTTCGGTACCCGCAATGTCCGTAGTTCCCCTAGGTTCCAGGGCATCCTCATCAAGAGATGTTCGTAGCCGCGATCGCAACGCGACTCCTCCCCGTAGGACTCCCATTGTAGAGGAACCTGATTCAGACTCTACTGCAACTCCCCTTGTGTATAGCCCGCAAGTGCCAGCACCCGACCCATCTAGGAACATGAGTGCTGCCGCGTGTGTGGCCGGATCGGCATTGCAACGTGCGCATCAAGCTTCGCTCATTGCTGATCAGGCTGCCAATGTTGCTCTTCACGAGCATCGAGCGACGAGGCCAGACAAAGGCTAGGGGAGGTTGCTGCTGTTGCGCAACAAAGGGAGCAGACCTTTAGACAACAGGCAACAGAACTGACAGCAAGCAGTCGAACGAGCCCGTGCTCAGACCGCATTAGCTGAACAAGCTGCGCAGCATTCTCAACAGGAAGCCCAAGGCCATGTTGAACAGGTGAGGCAGGAAGCCGAAGGCCATGTCCATCTGTTAAGACAGGAAGCCGTAGGCCATGTTGAACGTGCTAGGCATGAAGCCCAACAAGCAAGGTCGGCCGCAGAAGCCGAAGTGTCCAGGTTGAGGCAGGAGGCTACTCAAGAAATATCCTCACGGGAACAGAAGATCCTCCTGCAAAGCAAAGTGCTAGATACATTAGGGAGTGAAAACCTCTTGTTGTCGCAACGCCTTGCTGACCTAGAAAGGGCTGTCGCATCCATGGCGCAAAATGTTGCGGTACCTCCGGATGAAAGTCATGAAAGTCAAAATCCTACGGATCCCGGGTCATCGGGGCTAAATGACGTTGGACGTGACCTTCAGGTTGGATCACAGGCTCCCCAAGTTCAAGGGCCGAGTGATGCCACACGTGAGCAGTATCCCCCGAAGGATGCAGCTCTAGGCGCATCGGGAAGTTCAAGTAGCGACCCTAAGGTAGCGCCACGTGCCCCACAGCCCGACATCAAGTCAGATGCCAAGCGTGTGCAAATGCAGGATGGTGATCCACGTGCACAACCACAAGGGCCGCCGCATGTCGCTCGGACTCAGGATGTCAGGGGACCTGTAGACGTACAGGCACAAATGTCCTCTTTAACTGAGGAAACCGTGGTTCGCATCAAGGACCTTAAGGGTTTAGTGCTTCCGCTTCCGCCAGAGAACGCCGGTCAGGCGCGCGGGTACGTGAACCAAGTCCTCATGGCCAGTGGACGTTTGCAAAAACGACCGATGACGAGCTCTATCTATCTGTGGGCTCAGCTCATCCGAGGAACAACTCAGGGCAGATAAGCGTTTCCCACGCAAAAACCCGTGAGATAGCCGCCAAGCTGTTGAGAACCTGTCGCAAAGGCAAGTTTGGGTTGTTGTTCCAAAACATGGTGGAACACGAACGGAACACCGCAGGTACAATGCCAAATGGGCGCGTGATGTTGCGTTCGATCTTCAAGCATTTTCAGCTGGAGCGCGACCGGATCGGCATCCTTGGAGAACGCAATCCAATCTTCTAGGTTTGAAACTCGCCGGCCAGTCAGTAGCAGACATCGAGGCATTCCGTGAGAAGTACAACTATATTATCCGTGCGATACCTCTTGATGAGCTCCCCAAGGAAAGAACTCTTTTCAATCTCATTGACGAGTTTGAGAAGTGCCCCGTAATGAAGCATCGTGTTGAGAAGGCCCGTGAGTCCGCCCATGATAGTCACCGCTGCACCTGTGCATGGCTTTGTGCAAAGGCAGACCTGTAAGTGCAAGCTTCGGGTTCCTCGCTGTTCTAGGATCAACGCCTCCAGGGTTGTTGAGTACGTACCACAGTACGATGAGGTAGTCAAACCGCAGATCGTTGATCAAGCCGCGATTCGACCAATCAATGTTGTTGGTTCTCCTGTGAAAGTCGAGGATGATGCAGTTTCCTTGTCCGATGATGATTCCTTCATCATTGATCCATGCCAGGATTTTCCATCACCTCCCCAAGTGCCAGAAGAAAAAAGGAGCAGCTCAATGCGTTCATTGATGATGTGGCCCAAGAGATTAAGGTTTCTAGCTTAATGCGCAACGAAAAGCCAGCCATGCCAGCTCCGGAGGAAAGGCCTCCGGCCGAGCCCCCGGACCCGCCGCCAGTGCCACCACCTGTTGGAGCACCTCCTGCGCCCGCGCCAGCGGTGCCCGAACATCCTGATGACGAGCGCAGACTTGTCGATTTTGCAGAAGGTGGTGAGCTTCGTGATGAACCGCGGCTTCGGGCCAAAGCCAGTTCACCGGAACACCAACGGACTCACTTCCCCAAGAATCCCTTCTGCAAGATTTGCAACATCGCTAAGAACACAGTGACGATCTTCTCGACGCACCCACCGCTCCCTACCAGCAGCTCGCTACTGATAGCGTGATCTGGGCGAAAGGCGATGAACACGTTGGCATCGGCGTAGGCGGAATAAAATCCCACCATGTCATCAGGATGTGTTTTCCGGCGCAGGGGTCGCATACCCGGTCTCCAAGAGAGACATTCCGTCGCACGCAAGGAATCTCAGGCATTTCGTTGGCCTTAGAGCCAACGAACTCGCTCCACACTGTCTCATAAAACTGGATGAAGCTGGAGAGTTGCAGGGAGCGGCCGAGGAAGTAGGGATGATCCCCGAAACCTCGTTGCCGAATCGCTGGCCACACAACTCCGAGCTTGAGCGAGATGTCCGAGAGGAGAAAGAGTGTTGCAGGAGCATACACCATGAATCGGGTTTGCCATACTCCCTGCACACGCATTCCTATCCCTTTGCATGCCTCTCGATGTCTTTCGACCGACCGTCCACGTTCGATTCGACAAAGACGCAATGGGAAGCACTCACCAAGGAGAAGTTCGATGGCGTCCGCTGTTGCTTTGGACAGCTCGTTTGGTATCGCCTAAAGTCAGCTGGAAAGAGAACCCTAGAACCCAACATGGCCCCAGGCTTGTTTATGGGTTGGCGTATCGATCCAGGGATGCGATATCGAAGGGTGCGAAAAGTTATGGACTACCAAAGTTTCAGAACCAATGGTAATGTTACTGTCCATGACGTGCCCGGGCTTTAAGTCACGAAGTGTGTACATCACCATTGAACGAATTATAAAGTTCAAGCAGACTCCTGGATGCAAGGCCTGCGCCGGCCATGCTAGTTCTAGGCATCACACTGACGAATGCCGCAAAAGGTTTGCAGAGCTAGTTGAAAGTGAGAAGGAAGAGGCAAAGGCCAAAAAGGCCGCAAGTGAGGAGGCCACCAAACCAAGTAAGGGTGAAGATGAGGCAGTGGCTATACGCGCTGCAAAGGCGTCGTCCCCAGAAGCCCCAGAGATCGAGGCACCTGAGGAGGGAGACCCCGATATCGTCCGTGCCTTGCTTGGAGAGCCCGCCTCTTCTCGGCCCAGTGTTCCGCATACCGACGCTGTCCCCGCATCAACCAAGAAGGATGAATGGGTTTATAAGTTCTGTGGTAACGTGTTAATCCGCGTACATCATCAGCCTAGGATTAAACTTTTCACTCCCAAGGATGTCGGTGATTGTTCTGTGTCAGTGTGCAGAATCACACCCGGTAGGACCACTCGCGTTGTGTCCCAGCAAGATGGTAGCAAGGAAGATATCAGTGATGGTTGGGTAGGCAGATTCTCAGCACATCGAGAACTCCCTGTGTTCTGGACTGGCACAACCATTTTGAGGTTATATAGTGATTCCGAGCATTCGGCTGCAGCTTTAAGCGCAGCAGGGGGGCTCAGTCCTCACAAGGGTAACATCCCAGTCAGCTCAGGAGCAGCCGTCACCGTGTCAACCGCATCCAGCACAACACTTGCTGAGACCACGAAAGAGAAGCCATCCGTTTTCGGTAACCCTTGCCAGCTTCAGGGGGGCGATGAACACCCTCCGTTTACCGTTGGCAACAAGCGTGCTCGCAAGCGCCTAGCGCGTGATGCTGTTGGCCCGATGTTTGAATTTGCTTGTTCACCTAATTCCTCAATGGGTAATGTGTTCAAGGATCTTAACATCCCACATGTCCGACTAGCAAAGGAGTACATTGACTTGGAGTCAGCCGTTGCGGATGAGCAACTCGCGTATCAACTCTCGCAGTGCGTCCGACCCAACTTGTGGGCAGCCATTCCAAGTTTGCGTTGCGCGCCGAGCATGTTTTGAAGGCTGGTGGATCAGTCACTTTCGAGTGGCCGCGTGGCTGCGAAGGCTGGCAGAGGCCAGATGTTGCCGAGTTTTTCGAACGCCACAAGGATGTGTTCCGTGGTGTTTCGTTTCATGGCTGTGCTGTCGGTTTGACGGATGAAAATGGTTCACCCATCAAGAAGCCTTGGCACATCAAGACTACATCAAAGGCCCTTTCCGAAGCATTCGCTGATCGGTTCAAGCAATGCCTGTTGTTCCAGTCACTCAGCAGACGGAGCATCGTGTTAAGGAGCAATCCCTAAAGCACGAATCTCCTCTTTCCGGAGCAGATGACTTCACCCTCCTCATTGAATCAGACTCTAAAACAAAAGAGATTGTTGAGGAACTCCTCGATGTCCAAGGTCTACTTGCTAGTGCTGTCGGCATGCCCGCCAAGGCTGTCGAAACAGAAGCGCATGCAATGGTCACTAAACTCATGTGCCGTGCTGAGATGCTCGCATCTCCTGAAGCATTGGAGGCAATCAAGCAGGAGGCGACAGGACTCCAAGACGTCGGAGTATGGGATAGTTCAACTGTCCGGGAGAAGGCTGAGGTCGCAGCTCAAGCGCGACAGTCTGGGATCAAGGTGCACTTTGGTCAGCTCATGACGATCGCCAGCATCAAGTTCTATGAACTTGCGAAGCACCTCCAAAAGGTAAAGGGGCGCGTCGTTTTCAGGGGAGACTGTGCAAAAGATGAAGCCGGCGCACCCGTGTACCAAGAACTGGGGGCGAACCCCACCTCGGTACAAGGCCTAAACGCCTGCCTGGCGTATGGGTGTGTCCCAGGACACACGGTCACCACCGCTGACGCGGTAAAAGCCTATGTCCAGGCGTTCCTTAGCTCGCAGTTCCAGACGTGGATCGAACTTCCGCCCTGAACTGCGGTCAAAGGAATGGTGAAAAACAACCCGTGGTCTTGTTGATTCGTGCCCTATATGGTCACCCTGACGCAGGAGGTCTGTGGGAGGCACACCTTAAGAAACTGCTCAAGCAGCTGGGAGGGGAAGAAATCCCAGAGTTTCCTGGAAACTTTTTCTTTAAGGGGGTAGGCCTTACTCTCGACTTACGTCGATGACTTAACCCTCTCAGGCCCCGCAGATGCACACGAAGCCTTTTGGGAAAAGCTTACCAAAATGATAAATGTAGAACCTCCCGAGCCGATCTTTCGGGTGCTCGGGCGTAATCATGTCTTTATAGACGCTCCCGCAGAGCCTCAAGAACATGATCTGAATGCAGCTGTAAGCGCATTAAGGATGCCGTTGCCTTTGACATGAACGACGATGCCCGTCAAACCGTAGAACTGTTTTGTTCTATAACCGGCACTCAGCCCGAGAAGCTCCGGAAGGTAACTACTCCGTTCTGCCCAGACGGATCACTTCCTCCTGAAGATGATCAGCTGGTGAGCTAGCCCCGAACGCGTGCAAACTCCTTATGAAGGCCTTATGGCTGCGACGACTAGCGCGTCCTGACATCATCAAGCCCATAGGTGACTTAGCGACCGCCGTGCAGAAGTGGTCTCGCAACCACGATAGGCAACTCGCCCGTCTTATCGCGTACATCCACTCGACTACGCACTACCGGTTGGTAGGAGTCATAAAGGACAACCCGCAAGATCTTCACCTCGCTCTGTATGCGGATGCCGACTATGCTGGAGAAAGGGATGCGAAGTCCACGTCCGGTGGCTTCTTGGTTCTCAAAGGACCGAACACCCATTTCCCGTTAGCATGGTTGAGCAAACAACAGACATCAGTGTCGAGATCCACCACCGAAGCCGAGGTCGTTTCGCTCACATTCTCCTTATATCAAGAGGGCCTTCCCTCCTTGACCTTAGAACGTTTGCTTGGACGCCCGGTTGAGCTGGTGCTACACGAAGATAACCAAGCCGTTACTCCCCAAAAATGCGGCGCATACAGCGCACTCATAAAGTGAACTTGTCCGCGCTTGCTGAGCAACTTGGGCGTAGTGATCAAGTATGTAGCAACCGATGTCCAGGCAGCCGACATCTTCACAAAAGCGCTGCAGCCCTTGAAGTGGGACCACGCTCTCGCATCAGAACCAATTTGCCCGAAAAGTTGAAAGATGTCCGGCCTGAGATGACCAAGCAGTAACAAAAGTGCAAAAATCATAGGTAAGCCCTCTTTATGGTCTGGTAAAGGACCTTGCATCACATGGGTCGCAGCTCAAGCGCGACTGTAAAATACAAGTCTCTTAGTGAGCACGGGGAGGGGGGAGTTGAATAATCACGACCCCTTGACCCCCAAAGAGGTACCCCAGAAGGGTGTGCGTGCATGTGATGTTGGAGGCCCCGTTGACTGTATGAGTACATGTCGAACGGCAATGCCCGTTTGGCTCAAGACCAATGCCCATCAGTAAAGCAGGGTTTGTGCTCGCCTACGGGACTGGGGTTAATAAGGGTCCCGGTTTCTGGTTCGCTGTGTTTCTTTCCCTGTTGAGTGGATCTGTTTGAAAAGTCATGCAATATTTCTTCCATCCACCTCAAGGCCGGATGCTTGGGTGGTGCTCTCTGTACACTCCTGCTGGTGCCACCTTCTTGGGTCTCAACGTCCCGAATGTGCCTTGTCATTGGGTGTGCCACAGGTACTTGGACCTGTTGCGAACTGGGTGCCGCATCTCTTTGGGATGACCATGGCCAATGCCTCAGCAGACGTGCAATACGTTAGAGACACGTATGATCTGTTTCCAATGATATGCAGGTTGGTTTGTTCGGCACCATGATCGGGATGGGGTTCATGCACCTGGTGCGCGACTACTGCCCCGAGGACTTGCTCATGTGCGTTACGCACATGCGCACACGCACCCGAATTTGAGGTTCGTGCAAGCACAAGTCTGCGCGATCTTGCAAAAACGCAGTCACTCGGCGAACCACACCCAGATGCGCCCACACACACACAGGCGCTCGGACGCACATGTCCGGACGCACGCCCAGGCGAAGAGCGTGGCGTGCAAAGTGAGGTTTGCAGGCGAGCGAGAACTAGTGAGTAAAGGAAAAGAGACGATAGCAACAAGAAAGAGAAACACACACACACACAGCGCAATCTTCTCGAGATCAGAGCGTCTAGCGCTCCGAGCGATTTCAAGTTCACGGCACGCCACGAGGAGCTCATGGGAACCATGCTTGGCATCCAAAGTTCCTTGAATGGGGCAGCTGGAGCGCTTGCACCTCCAGTGGGAGGGTTTTTGTATCGTGGGGACCTCGAAATTGAACTGCAGCTCCACGAAGTGATGGGCACAATGATTCATTTTGAGGCGTGAACATTTTTTTGCCGTTCCTGTGCACGTCTGCGAGTTGCGCATTTACAGGCCCTTCCTGAGAGCAAGCTGCCTGTGTAAAGCGGGCCTGTCTCCTCAGTGCAGGCCTACTCTACGAGACGATGCTACCCAAGGAGCAAGTCCAGAGCTTTTGATTTGTCTTCTTGTCAATCAGTTTGCTTGCGTATTTGCAGGAGAAGGTTCCAGTCAAGGAGGCTGGGATGAATGATGCTCTCAGCTGAATGCTTCTCACTTGATTTCATGTCACCTTTGAAGGTCGAAGAGCCAGTGCCCGTGGTACACAGGAAGCCATCAAAGCTCAGGAGGCTTGTGGTCTTGCAATGGGTCCGCGGCATGCCACAATGTGGCCCAGGATATCAACCTTTGGAAGGCCAATCTACAACGCCGCTCGACTTCGCTCACGTGCTTCTGGCACTTGCGCAAGCCATACCTCATAACGGATCAAATCAGGTAGAAGCGTACATAACGGGCTGATTTTCCTGGGAACATATTTGACGATGGTGTTGATTCTATCAAGTAGCCGATCGGATGTCTCAGATGTTTGGGTCGAATGTTCTGCGTCTTTGCACGGATATGATTCGTTTGTTTGGGTCATGGCATGGTCGGATGCTTGGCTGCAGCCTGGCTTTTGTTTCTTGTTGAACAGCAACTTCTGGCTTTACAAGAGCGAGCTAGATGCCTTTCCCGCTTCCCCAGCGGTTGGCCCTAGAGTCAGAACTGTCAAAGGCCTTTGGTTCGCGGTATGAATGTATCCAAAATCCAAGTGGGGTCACATGCTTTGTGGAGTTCAGAATTGTGTGCTGGTTTGGTGGCCTGGAGGCAATATGGGTCGGATTTGTTCAAATGCACTTAGCTCACCAGCCTAAGGTGTAAGTTCTGCTTCTGTGGCCCAGGGATGTGCTGGGAAAAATCGTTTGATTCTCAGCCTTTCCAGCTTGGCCTTTCCAGCTTGGCCTGGAAGTCTGACCGTTTGTCGCGCAATGCACTTATTGGGTCCCAGCTCCATTGCCGATGGTTGCAGTGTTCAGCCAGGTTTTTTGGGCGTTTGCGTCTCAAATCTTTTGTTTCTCGATTTGTTGCTTTGGGAGAGCGCTCTTACTGGTAAAGTTTTTTTCACCTCTTCACGCTGTCCCTTTAGCTTAATTATTGCCATGCCCAATGCAGCACCTGCTATTTTCTGCAAGCAGTGCGTGTGAGTCTTTGCCGTGCAAAGCAAATCTTTTTTGCAGTGTGACTTTCATGCCTGTGGCTTCTAAATTGTGTTTTTCTTTGCTTGACACTTCCTTCCAACATATGCATGACCAAGCAACACATAAGGTTAACCGTGAACATGATGGCAACACATGTGTAAGCAATGACAATGCTGCAATCCATTGTTTTCTATTCAATATAGTTTGTGCCCTTTTGTATCCATATTATATCCCTTGACAATAATACTTTTTGATTCAATCTTGTCGGAACTGACAATGGCACGCCAGCTTCAAGGAAACTATAAGAGTTCTGCAACTGGACCTGCAGTCATATTTGAATGCGCAACAATTAAATGAGTTTCAAAGCCATACGAAGACGCTGTGGAGCGCATGCTGCTGGCCATTTTCTTGTATTTTGCAAACCCCAATCCTATACGCGAGCCATTTCCTATTTTGGCGGCGCGCCATCTCTTTGCAAAGACTGTTTCTGAAATTCTAAAACCTGCGCTGTTTTGGTAAGAACGGCAAGGGCAGGCTTGGGCTTCAGCTAATTATTGTGATTCCTCATCATGTTCTTTTGGATTTTATCATTCAAGTATACGTTTTCATTTTCAATACATATTTTTGTACACTCTTGTTTTCAACGGTGGATTATTGTCATTTTGTGTGACCAACGTACTTTAGCGGTGGTGGATGTCCATGGTGTGGTTTCTGTTAGTTTGACATCCTCATCAGGACAAGCAATTCATGCCTGAGTGTCGCATCAGTTTATGACGTGCGATGCTAACGAGCTAAGGACAAAAGCTTTGTTGTCCAGGCTGGGTCATGCTGTGGCATTCCAATGCCTGACATCTCCTTGGCATCTCTTGTTTTGCATCCAACAGGTGCATACCAATGAACTCAGCGTGGAGATCGATCCGCAGAGCAGGCTTTGCACTTAGGAGCAGCTGCGGACATGTTCATGCACTTGTTCGCAGCACACTTGTTCGCAGCTCGTGCGTCATGCGCTTGAGGTACCTTTATCAACGTATGCGGGAGCGTCTGCGAGAAGCAAATATACGAGGTGACTGCATCCCTATGTATCCCTTGGTGCCTTTCATGCTGGGCCAGGTGGTATGAAGCCAGTGGCCACTGTGGCAGGGAACCTAGTTTTGGGCCGCGTGCTGTTTTGCTTGCGCGCTTGATGCCAGAACACAAACCATTCCTGCTTAGCATGGTGCTCTCGCGGCCTCCATCGAGCAAGAAGATGAGCGCAAAACAATGGACCTGGCCTCGGTGCATTGATTCGCTCTTTTTTCAGACAATTGACTCAGCGATCATGCGCCTCAAAGTGCCTGCCTACACCCTAAAGCACGAAGAAGATGAGACCCAAGCTGCGTGCGGGTATGCTTGCCTGAGCCGCCTTAGGTTTCTTTCAAGTGGCCCAACATCAATCCAAATAACGGCTCAAACTGCTGAGGTTCCAGCGCAGGGCGCCTTGTTTGTTTCCTTTTTCGATTGCTATCCTTTTCACTTGCAGCTGTGTTCCCTTTACGAAGCATCCCCGTTTGTTTCATGCAGTGTGTCCGCGAGCAGCACATTCATTCACTGAGTAACATAGAGCCGGCGAAGCCGGTGGTTGGAAGTTTCTAGACATATAAACTACTTTTTTTGTTTGTTTCTCTTTCTCTTTCGCTTTCTCTCTGTCTCTCTCTTTTTTTTTTGTTTCGGTCATCTTTCTTTTCTCTTTCTGTTCTCTTTTCTTATTCTTTCTTTTGTGTTTCTCTTTCTTGTTCTTTTCTCTTTCTCTTTCTTGTCTCTTTTCGTTATCTTTCTATTTCTCTTTCTGCTATGTTTTCTTCTTTCTATTCACCTTCTCTTTCATTCGTTCTATTTATCCTTTCCGTCTCTTTTCGTTCTCTTTCTCTTTCTTCTATACTTTATTTCTCTTCATCTTTCTCTTTCTTTTCTCTTTTTTTATTTTATTTCTCTTTCTTTTCGTTCTCCTTCTCTTTCTGCGATAATTTCTTTCTCTTTCTATTTCTCTTTCTTGTTCTCGTTCTCTTTATTTTCTCTTGTATGTCTCTTTCGTTTCTCTTTATACGTTGGCTTTGTTCAATTGGCATGCAGACCATAGTGACACCACCTTTGCTCCGGCATGGACGTGTCCGCTTGTACGTGTGTGCGTGCGGGCGCGCGGGAGGGTGTACGGGTTTGCGTGCGGACAAACGCACGGGCGTACGTAAACACACGCGCGGGTGGGCGGACGGGTGTGCGGGCGGACTTCCTTCGTTCGCACATCATATAATCTCTGATCACTAACTCTTCTCTCCAAGACACGAAGTGGCGGTTAAGAAACATGATAATAATGCCAACTCCTCACGCCTGAGCGCCGGAAGGCAAGGAGTTGGGGGAATGTGGACAGTCCAGATTCTTTATGTGTCCAACTTACCATCGGTGATCCACCATATGAACCCGTCCGGAATAACCGCATTTGGACACATTTTAATATTTATTTTGTACATCTTTTTATATTTGTTGTCTTCTTTAAAATCTTTCGTACGGGCGGAGGCCGCGCGCGTGCGGACGTGTGTACGGACACGCGCCCAAAAGTTTGGACGCACGTGCGTGACCAAGAAAAGAAGGCCTTGTTTCGATCATATTTTTCGATATCAGGCCCTTTCTTTCAGAAATAGGACCTTATTCCGCGGGCGGACGTATGCGCGTACGCCCGTACGCCCGTATGCCCGTATGCCCGGACGTACACCGCACGCAAATCCGCACGCGCGGACGCGCGCGCGCGCCTGTACGCACGCCCGTACACGCACCCGCATGCGCCCATGCGCCCGTACGTACGCCCGTGCGCATGCAGTGTCGGTACACGTCCGTATGCCGCCCGTGCTTCCGCGCGCGTGTCCGTACACGTCTGACGCTCGTGCTTCCCGCCGGAGCGGTCGCATGTACAGGCTTTGATCCAGTTATATGAGCACGCGTTTTTAATCTAGCCAGTTTATATATATATATACACATTTTTTTTGAAAATCTTGAGATATCTTTCTTTTCTTTTTATTTATCTGTTTTTCCTCTGTCTCTTTTCATTCTCTTTGTCTTTCTTTTGTATCTTCTTTCTCTTTCTTTTCTTCTCTTTCTCTTGCGTTTCTTTCTCTATTTCATTATTTTTCTTTTCTTTGTCTTCATCTTTCTTTCTATTGAATTTTATCATTTCTTTAGCTTTCTCTTTCGATTTCGCTTTCTCTTTCTTTTCTTTCTCGTTCTCTTTTCTCTTTTCTTTCTCTTTCTCTTCGTTTCCTCTTGTATTTCCTTTATCTTTCTATTTCTCATTCTCATTTCTTTCTGCTTCTGTTTCTCTTTCTTTTTTCTTTCTTGTTTCTTTTAGCTTTTCTTTCTCTTTCTCTTTCGCTTTTGCTTTCTTTTTCTTTTCTTCTTTCTCTTTATATTTTTTTAAAATGTTTCTTATCTTTCTCTTTCTCTTTCTTACCTTTCTCTTTGTTTTCGCTTTTCTTTCTCTTCATTTTTCCTTTCTCCTTCCTATACTTTTTATTCTTCTTTGTGTTTCTATTTCTGGTTCTCTTTATCTTTCTTTCTTCTTCTCTTTCTCGTTTCTTTTCTATTCTTTTATTTTATCTTTCGTTTCTTTGCTCTTTTATCTTTCCTTTCTATTTCTATTTCTCTTTCTCTTTATCTTTTCCTTTGTCTTGTCTTTATCTTTCTTTTATCTTCTGTTTCATTTTATCTTTGTGATTATTGTTCTCTTTGTCTTTCTCCTTCTGTCTCTTTCTTGTCTCTTTTGTCTTCTTTTCTCTTTATCTTTGAATTATCATTGTGTTTGTCTTTCTCTTTCTTTGCTCTTGCTTTTCTCTTTCGTTTTCTCTTTCGTTTTCTCTTTCCCTTTTTCTTTCGCTTTCTTTTCCTCTTTCTATTTCTTTTTATCTTTCTCCTCTTTTTCATTCTTCTTTCTCTTTTCTTTCTTTTTTTCTTTATCCTTTCTATTTTTTTCTCTTTCTCTCTCTCTATCTCTCTATTTGTCTCTCTCTCTCTCTCTCTCTCTCTGAACGTGTTGCGCCTGCCACGAAATCCGCACCTGACCTTGCCAAAGTGCTGCGCCTCCTGCGAAATCTGCAACTGGCCTTGCGAAATTGCTGCGCTTGACACGAAATCTGCACCCGACCTTGTGAGAGTGCCGCGTTTGCCACGAAATCTGTACCTGACCTTACGAAAGTGCTGCGTCTGCCGCGCAATCTGTGCCTGACTAAACAGCCTCAAGCCCACCCCAAAATTGCTCCCCGCCGTCAAGCTTGATCTGAATCAATCCATCTCTGAAGCTTTCTCAAACCCAGCGGAGATGTAAGGACAAGTGGCATGTTTTGGAAGAGTTTGATGGGGCGCAACTATTGCAGCAAAGTTCGTGCATCTTCTTCAACTCGAGCACATTGATTTGATTTGGAATCCAAGGACATGCACCGCATGAACTCGGCGAGAAGCTCTTTGCACAAGCAAGGAACCATGTAATCTCACACAACTTTGTTCTAGCAGAGGAATTCAGAGCATCTTGTGCGATAACAGCAAACCATTGGGGTGCAGCTGCGCTTTGACAAGGTGTTGACCAAGATGCCATGTGACCGTGTTGTTTGACCGTATTGCGCCCAACGGATACCAGCTATGATTCCTGTCCTGTCTATTGGCTCAGAGCTTTGCAATTCCACCATCCGTGGCAGTAGGTGGAAAGGCGGGGACTTTGTTTTGCACCAAGGATTGCTTTGAACTCTTGTAAATGCTTGCTTGCTGTGCCTGAGGTCAGCAGCATGTCTGAGGCATGGCAAGCAGTCAGATTGAATGCAATGAGCTAGATTCTTGATTCGCACAATTCATGGCCTGCATTGACAGATGTGAAATGAATGTCTTGCTCGGCCCCGCCACTCTTGTCGGCAGGTTGAAGAGACCTTGAATCGTATCAAGACTCACAAAGGGGTCTCAGGCAAGGCTGTGTTCGTTGTTGTGGGAAAGCTTTCAACAGTTCTCGTGGCACAGTAATTCCATTTCAAGTCAACCGGCAGGGCTGTCAAAGAGAAGTGAGTTCTCAAGGGGCTGTTCTTGAGAGTGTCAGAGCATCACATTACAGCACAGATCAGCAAAATGCAGACAACCTTAATAAGCGTGTCTCCTTCCCTGCCATTTTCTCGTTGTCATTGTCCGTGTCACTTTGGTGGCACAATCATTTCACGTGCAGTCGCTGGAGTCAATGAGTCAAGGCATAGTCATCGTCAACAGCGAGGGTGTTCCAATGCGTTCCACGCGCGGTGCCCCAGTGTGTCCTTTTTGTATGCCACGTAGGACCCGCTCGTTGATTGCAATTCATGTCTTTTCATTTTTCTTATTTCAGGCTTGACAGCAAGCAAACTCTGCAGTACTCGGCGCTGATTTCCCAGCTTGCGGCAAAGGCGCGGCGTCATGCATCGAATGTTGCCAATGGTGCTTATATACTGAGCAGGCCCGCAGCGTCGTCCGTGAACTTGCCCGGTCCTGTGATTTTTGCAGCTGCATCACTAGCCAGCAGGGTCTTTTGGGGCGTCAATGCAACTTGATTGCAGAAACGAGCAAGATGCAAAATAGAATGAGTTCGAGGACCCACAGAATGACTTGACCTTCCTGAGGACAGTTCCTGCATGTGGTTCCTTTGTAGCAGCTTGGCGCTCGCAGGATTCGATCGAAGAAGCATGAAATTATGGTGGCTCCTGATCGGGTCAGATGCTTACTTCGGAATGACTTGACAGGCACGCATGCAGCATCCACTTTGATGCAAGGGGTAATTAACAGTGAGCTTGCTTTGATACAATGTAAGGGCATTTCGCTGCAGCATTGCTGAGGAATACATCCTGATTGTCATTCAAGATCCCAACGCTGACCAAGGAAGCTAACAGGCGACAGTGCAGTTTGTGTTGCCGGCTGTGCAAAGGCTGACCTGCCTTGTTCCTCTTGAGTCTGCCGGTCGCCATGTCGTTTTTTTGGAAGGCTGAAGCATGCTGACGGAGCGGCTGCTCCAGGTGAACGCTTCCATTGGCATTGTGCGATTAAAGACTCATCTAGCACTGCTGGGACCGCTGCAGAGAGAGCCCATACAAGGTCGCACCCCTCGACAATCCTTCATGGTCCTTGTTACGTTGAAACGTCACTGAGGCTGCATGGCTTCCCTCGTGATTTCAATTTACATGCAAACACGCACCCCAGCAGCCAAACACTGGCATGCCGAAAGTGCGCCAGGCAGCCTCTCCAGCGGGAGTTTCACCAACGATTGCATGAATTGCATGCTGGACAAAGTGCTCAGGATCTTGAAGACCTGGAAATCCAACAATGTTGTGGCTACCATGTTGTGGCTTGTGGATTGTCCTGTCGCCTGCCAGCGCAGTTTACAAAATCTACGCGAAGAGTATGCGACAACCGAGTCGCATGTGCCATAAACAGTCGCACACCTTGCCAGACTTGCTTTTCTTCTTTCGAAGTAGCTGCAGAGTCTTGTGACAGATTAGTTGGCCATGAGCCGCGATGGGAAGTAGTGCCAGTAGTGATGGAGGCAGGCAGCAGTGCCATAATGTGCGGGTTGGCCGACTGTCCTCAAGTTTATCCTGGCCAAATTGGTGATGGGCCTGTGTCTTCTGTTGCTTTACAAACAACCGTATTCCAACCCTGACACTTAAAACCAACCAAAACCCACCCCAAACCAATGCCACACCAACCCCTAAACAACCCGAAACCGAACAAAGCAGATTCCAAACCCACTCTAAACCACCCTAAACCAACCACAAACCAACTAAGCCGAGCACCATAAACTCGAAAATCAATTCAAGCAGAAATCCTAAACCAAGCCAAACACAATTCCTAAACCCACTCAAACCTACCCTGAGCCACCCAATCCCAAACCCACCCCAAACCAACCGCAAACCAACCCCTGAACCAACGCTAAGCCAACCGTGAACTACTCCTTTGTGGTGACTTGTTTGCTCTCGCAAACCACAGCAGTTCAACCATGTGGTCATTCTGTTGATAGCGTCAACCGCATGTTAGCAAGTACATATGGGCTTGCTGGGCTGCGCACGGAGTTGCGTGCTCCAGATGCAGGAACTCGAGAGAACCTTGTCCTACGGCTTGGACCTTCAATCCAAGATGCCCTAAGGCAGTCTCAGTTAGGTCAGACACTTTCTCGCTCAAGTTGTGTGCACTGCCAGGCCATCCGCAGAGCAGTTCAAGGAGGCAATGTGACCAATATTGTGGACCAGAATGCTTTGCATGTTGCACAGTTTACAAGGCTTGGGAGCATCACAACGCCGGGGCCAGCCGGTCAACCAGGCAGGGGTGAACAACTCGCTTGATGTGAACATTCCATTTTCTTTCTGTACTTCCCGAAAGGATTTCGAAGGGTTCTTCCGCTCAGAGCCATTTGCGCAGAGCCACTTGCAGGGTAAAGAGCTTGGGGCACCTTAGGTCGGGTTCCTGGGCAGAGAGAGCTAACGGCTCGGTGTCAGCGGCTATGTAAGTAAGTGTCTACAGAGAAGCGAGAGAGCTCGGTAGAAGATTCTTCTCCGTGGGTGGGGCGTAGGGTTGTTGTCGCTCGGGATTGCGACCCGTGACCCGGATCGGCGTAGTCCATGGCCAACAACTGCGGACTTTTCCGACTTTTTAACATGCCCGCGTGGGATCGGCGCGGTCGAGGGCTTTGACTTTTTAACATTCCTGCGCGACCCTCTGCTGGGATCAGCGTGATCGATGTCAAAAAACTGAGGACTGAGGATTTTTTTGACCTTTCAATGTGCGCGAGCGACCCTCTTCGGAAATCGGCGTGGTCGATGTCAAACAAGTGAGGGCTTTTTAGATGTCCTCTGCGCGCGGATCAACCCTCTGTGGGGATCGATGCGCACAATTTGAAGGGGGCGTGAAATATTTTGCGGCGCGCACATCAAAATTGTGCGGATCGGCGTGGTGGCTTTTTGTGTTTTTTTGGCGCTCGCACGACCGCTATGGAATGCTTTCAGCGTGGTCCTGCGCGAGGTTTGTTTCAATTCTGCACGCTGGTCCTTGGAAGTGGTCTTGTGGTTTGCGTAAGTGCTCTTGTGATGGCGCGGTCGATCCCCGCTGGGTCCACGGGAAAAGGGCGACCTGTAAGCACAAAAATCGTGACATTGATATGCAGGTGCACCGTGGAGTATCCCTGCTTCATTCAGATGCGACACTTGCGTGTTGGTCAATGCTGGTCAAGCTCGCATTCGTGACGCCAAGACATGCACATACATGCACAAAGCACGCGCCGGTCCCATTCCTGGCCTTCATGCAATGCCAGAACCAGCATACAGCATGCGCTGACCAGGAAGAACACCTTGAAGGTTTTGACGCAACTGTTGGAGAACCAGCTGGAGGACTTGAGGCTCAGAATCATCCTTGCTGTTGGTGACTTGTGCAGGCGGCCAAAGCGACTGCGTCCAAGGCAAAGTTAGAGGTGGCAAAGGAGCAGGCGTTCGATTCCCACGTTAGTCAGATGATGTAGCCGTAGTTTTGTTTGCAAATTGGAATGTTTCTTATCTCAGACATCTTTCCAACTGGTAGGCTCGAATGGAAAAGGCTGGAAGGAGAGAACGAGCCGCGCCCGCAGCTGTAAACATTTTGAAAGAGAGAAGTGTGGACCCAAGGCTGAATTGCGATCTTGCTCGCCAACGATGGTGTCGGAGGAAACTCTGCAACGCTTGCAGAAATGACTGCATGTCGTTCCTCAATTGAGCTGCAATCGAAACCTGGTAGATGAGGATTAGTGAGGGGTAGTCACCCTTTAAAGACTTTTTTTTTTGCCATGCCTCGATTTGCGAGAATCCAATTGAAGTTCAGGAAGGATTAGACCGCTGCTCTGCTTTAATGCTGGGTTGTGCTGCAGGCAGGGCAGCCCTTGTGCAATGCGTATATGCACTCTTGAAGTATGAGGACCTGTTATGGCTGGGATGATGGCTGGATATGTGGATGTTCCCATCACATGCTTGACGGCCATGCTCCAAGACAAGGCCAGCTGGAAGTCCAGATCGCATGTCTGGCAGATCTGATACGATCAGATACCATGACAGTTGAATGCTGGACACATTCAAGATGCCTGTAGGAGCTTCTGCAACTCCGGGTGGATGTCCTGTTTGGAAAGCTCGCCCCCGATGTCAAGAGTCAAGAGTTGAGGCCATGAGAGCCAGCATTGCAAGCGCTAGGTACAGCACCTCTGACAAGGGAGAAGAAACAGTCAGCTTGGAGGCACGCACGGGCCATAGAGCCTGTGACCATATTCCAAGAGCCTTTTGCCAATTCGACTCCCAATAGGATCTCAAGCACGGCTACCTCTCCTTCTTCGACAGGCGTGGAGTTGGTGGTGTGTGAGGCAGAAGCTTGCACAGTGCAGGGCTGCCGCGTTGCTGACTGCAAGCACAGCTCCGCCAGAGACGCTAGCACCTTGGCTGCTGCTTTCCAGCACATGGTACTGTGGAAGTCGAAGGACCTCATCAGCGTCATCACCGTGCTCCCTCCAGTGAGGAAGCGAAAGCATTTGTTTGCAACAAAGTTTGCGCGCTCGAGGCAGCAGCCCTTAGCGCCGGAATGCGAACAGGAAAAAACATACACGGTGTGGGTGTGTGGAGCTGTGCAAGCGTGCGACAGCACAGGATTCCATTTCGTTTCATTTGCACGGCAGGAAGGCTGTTCTAATTGTATTTCCATCGCCAGCCACTACATGTGGACGCATAAGTCGGCGTTCGCTTCATCTCTGAGCGGGGATCCTTGTCCTATGATTTTGCTTGGTAACTGGTTGGTGCCTTCAGGCCGACGCTTGTGGCTGAATACTACGCCTTGAGTCCCGATTTCATGCAGTTTTCTCCAGGATACTTGCAGTCTTTGGTGCTTTTGGCGCGCTCCCAAGCCTTTCAACAATTTGGCATATGGCTTGTACCGAAAATATGACCTGGCTCACATGTTGCTCTCGCCCTTGAAAAATGCTCGGCTTGCATGAGATTTTGACTGCGCGTTGCCGGAATGTCCGCAGTGTTTAGGGTCGCGCGGGCGGCAGTTTCACCTGTGATGGGGGACAGAGCGCCATTTGCATGTTGCTTACGTGCGTTTAGAGGGGGCTGCGCTGGCAGGACACCATATCTTGCTCGACGCACTGTGCACCGAACTGCATATCTCGGCAGGCCAACATGTCTCACCTGCTGCCAGTGTGCCCAATGATGAATCACAACAGATACGATGGTCATGCTTTTTAGTGAGATTGCTGTTGCTGGCATGCACATTCCCAACGTGCGCTTGGCAGCCGCCGGGCAATGATGTGGTGGAGGAGCCTCCCAGGTGGGGTGCTTGCATTTGTCTTGTGGAACTCAGAAAGCAGCATTTCATTCGCACTTCTTCTTCTCTACGACGAAGGACAACATGCTGTATCCCATGCTTTGTTTGTATGGATGTTTCAGCAAGCAACATGTCAGGAAGAGCGCAGGCAGAACTTATCCGGTAGCAGATCCTGTCGATCTTCAACTGAATTGGCAGACGGTCTCAATCCAAGCTTTTCTTTGCTCCTGCTGCGACACATGCTGAAGTTCTGTCCAAGATTGCCGTGCGACACGCTTGGCGAAAAGCTGCAGAGATGGGCGATGCTGGCATAGGCCTGCTGCTTATTCCCGTCTGCCAGCAGCCATGCAGATATTATTCCTCTTTTTGGATTCACAGGACCTCCGTTACCTGTGAAGGGCCTACCCGAAGAGGCCAGACTGCACGCACTTTTTCAAGTGCAGACTTGTGTCAACCTCTCAGGCAAAGGCCTACATTGATCCAGCGGCGTCAAAGAAATCCGCGCGTTCGGCCAATGGAGCAGGGTGCTTAGCATGCTTGTGACAGTGGTGGCCAACACAACAGTGGCTGTTTTGCGGAGACACATTGCAAGGCTGACAAAGTCTCCGGAGGCATGCTGCACACTTGTGTCAATGGTGCTGCTATGTATGATATCATGTATATACATTTGTTTTGTAAATGTATGTGAAGGTAGAATCAGCTTCGTGGCCAGTGTGTTTTTGCAATATTGCACACTCCAAGATCCAGCAAGAACGGAGCGGTGCCGCCATTTGTTGACAAATGCCAATACCGTACTTGCATATTCCAAACAACAACTGTGGATCCAAGATTCGCTCAATCACCCTGGAAACTTGAACCTGAGATCCCCCAAAAGTGCCAGTACTAGCTATTTTCACCAGCCTTCCCACTAGAACTTTGGTTGCGTCTAGAATAGAAGTGAATGTTCTTGTATATTAAGGTTTTGCAAGCATCTTTTCCAAACTCGAGAAGCTCCAACATAAGCTTTGGATGTTCTCTCCCCGCGGCATTCGTGGCGTGTGCAAACGCCACTGAGTTAGATCTCAGCATGAAACACATGAGGAAGCTACACGAGGAAGCTATGTAGAGTGTAATTTTCTGGGCCTGCGGCCTCTAGCCGGCTACGCCTCTTTGAAGTTATACCATGTCATGTCATGTTTGTTGTATGAGAAACGTATCCTGTGCTATGATATGGCTGGTTAGGTTATGCATGTTGCCCACCCAACCCCAGATGATGCCGGGGATGCCAGCTTTCTGGGCCCTAGCCGGGACCCAAACCAGAAGGCTCGCGCGCGCGCGCGGCAGAGGCCGCAGAAACAGCAGCCCAAAAAGAACAGCCCGCAAGCCAGCCCGGAAACGCAAAAGCAACAAAACACCGTAAATAGCAGCGTTTTGCGCGCGCGGGCCAGAAGGCCCGAAAACCAACGCGAAAAAGCAAGGACCGCGCAGCACGCGAGCCAGCCACAGCAAAAGCAAAACGGACAGAACAACAGCCCACCACTCAGCACAGCAGTTTTTGACAGTATTTACAGCGTTTTGTAGAGAGAGGATCCAGCATCGCCGGCATGCCCGGCAGCGCTTGGCGCCAAAATGCGCGAAAATGAGCCTCGCTTATATCCCTCCGATACCTTCTAAAAAACAGTGCTTTTTGGGTTGAGAGGCTTTTTTGAAGGAAGTCTTGATGATGCAGGCCAAGCCCCGCTGAAGCATCACCCAGGCCCAACCCCAGACCCTGATGATGTCAGCCACATGGCCTAAACCCTGCATATACGCGATGTTTTGCGAGGGTTTCCCAGGCAAGCAAAACCGCAAGCCCGAGCTGGTGATGCAGAGGTGCCGGATTTAGGCCACGCATCACGACCAAGTGACGAGGGTCGGCGGCGCCAGGGTGCAGCCCCTATAGCTAAAGCTAGCAGGCTAATTGCCCAGCGGCGACATGCTACCCCAGGAGGCGTAGCCGGATTTACGTTGCTGGCGCACAACCGGCCGCGGCAGCATCGCGAGGCTCAACCTCACAGCTCTTGCAAGGACGGCAAAGCAGGCAGCAGCGACAACAACAACAACATAAACACACCTACATTTCCTTACTTGCACACATACACACATCCATTTTCCAAACATCCTCCCGCAGTTTTCCATCCATCTTCCACATTTCCCATCTATTTTCTAGCCATTTCCCGTCATTTTGCCATGTCCCCTTCACCGCCCGCACGCACGCAGGCACGCGCGCGCAAGCACACATGCGGGCACGCACGCGCGCTCACGCACGCACGCACCCACACACAGGCACACGCATGCACGCACGCATGCGCAGGCCCGCGCGCCTGCGCGCACACGCACGCGCGCCTGCATGGGCCATTTGCCGCGCAATTCGCATGTCAAAACCAAACGTTTTCCTCGGTTTTTTGCAGTAAAAGCTCGCATTTTCATGTGTTTTCCTGTGTTTCAAGGCTGCAGCAGGACGCCGGTGTGGAAGGCAGCCCCCAGCAACATCCCCAGCATCACCAGCATCACCGGCATCACCGGGGCAGGACCGCAGACTTGCAAGCCCAAGGCTGCAGACCCAAAAACAAGCCCAAAAACGCACCCGAACAGAAGCAGATGATGCAGGTGATGCTCATCACTTTCCTTTTCACACATCCTCGGCATGCACAGGGTCGGCGGCGCGTTGCGGCAGCCCCAGGCCGCGGCCGGCCCTTTCTCACCTACTTTTTTGGCTGGGAGGGTTGCCCTACTAAAATTCACGAAATAGAAAAATGTTGGTACCCAAATATTCTAACCTCTCTACTGCAGGACCTAGCTATAAAGATAGGCTGGGCTACCCCCTCGTTTAAACGTGTCTAATTCTGGGTGGTTAGGGCGAGGTTATGTTTGGAGGTGCTAGTGGCAAATGGTTTGATGCATCACCAATAAGAAGCCTAAAGGGGTGGACATGGGTGGACAATTGTTGTTCGTTCTCAGAGGCCCGAGTTTGGCACCTAACCACATTTTGCCCCTCAACCGGGGAAACAAAAGGGTTGGTGGAAAGCGCAGTGAGTGAAGAATGCAACCTTTAATCAATCTGCTTCTTAGTGGTTGTCCAATCAATTGTCACCCCATGTTTATCGGAGCTTTTGATCCATCCCCATGTGAGGTGTAACCGCCGAATTCCCGCTGAATCCGCAGATAGTGCTTAGCTTGCTGGTGCTCAACAGGGAATGTGAGGCATGCGCGTAGTTGAACGCACAGTAGGCGTGGGCTGTGTGCAGTTTGTTTTTGGAGGTGATGTCGGGAGAGGAGAGGAGCAACCACGCGCTGGGTCATAATTAGGATCCCCGGCCGGCGACAGGGCGTTTGCAACATGTGCGCAGCAGGACGGGAGAGGAGAAGAGCAGCCATTGGCCGGGTCATAATTAGAATGCCTCGGGCGTCTTGGACAGGTGTGCAGCACACACACATAGTACGTTGCGCGCTGGGTCAGGATCTTCGCAACGCTGCGCGTGTCAGGTAGGACGCGGGGGGGAGGGGGGTGAGGCCCACTGCCGGGGTATCCCGGAAGGGAACTGGTACCGTGGTAGTAGAGGTCGTTGATTTGGTCGCTGGATCTATTCCGGAGAGAGTCCAATATGCCAATATGGAGGATTGGAGGATGCATTGTTCTTGGTGGCTTGTGTTGACTGTGAATCCTGTAAAGCGGTGCAAGCCTTTTTATCAATGTACCATGAGTCGAATGACTGTACAAATGACTTGAAGGGCCTTGAGCCATCATGTCAGCGGAGTGTGTGAATAGGTCAATGTGCAACAAAAAGCAACACAAAATAGACACAAATTTCTGTTGACCTTTCACACCAAAGTGTATGATTGGCTTCTTGGCCTTACGTGCCGTAGCCATATTTGAAAGTGCCGTAGCCATGTATAGTTACAATGATTCATCCAATTTTGGCGCGGATGATTTGTCTTGTGAGCAAAATGGTAAACAGTCTGTACTGATTCTGTCAGACACCTAGATGTATCGAAAAGATGATGCACAACGCTATGTGCGTGACGGATGTGAAACTATTGATCTCTCACTGAATAGTCTTGTTGGCGGTGAGGATCAATCTGGTTGTAGTTCGTAGTGTCGATCGTGGGAGTTTTCTCAGTCGGTCGAATAAGTGCGAAAGGTGGCTGCTTCATCAAGTGATCAGCGGTACCACCGGCGGCTGCTGTCGGATTGACTGCCATAGTCTCCATAATCATTCCAGGTCGAGTCGCCATAGTCTTTCCATTGCTTTGGATTGCCCCAGTACTGCTTGTTGTACTCTTTGTACTCTTGCTGAGTCCAAGATTGCTTCTTCTTGAGGTGCTCCTTGGATCTCTCAAAGTTGCGTTGCCTGGCGGCAGATCTGCTGCGGATGTAGATCATCAGCGGACTGTGCGAGTCGGAATCTTGTGAGCCATTCATGAACATATCGTTGTTCACGTGCTTGAAGCGTTCCGCGGATGAGACCTGATAGCCGAAAATGGCAGACGTTAGATCGTTCCGCATGGCTTCCAGTTGTTCATCTCTCATGGCGTTCATCTCTTCCTTCCGGAAAACCTGCTGGATATTCGCTTCGCCCCATCCAAACACGAATGTCATCATTACATCTGGGAATGTTTGGTCATACCCTGATCCAGTCTTCATGTATAAGTGATGACGGACAATGGATTTTAGGGCGCATGAAGTCTCCATTGCATACTCCATTCTGTCCACAAGTGGCAGATTCTCCGCTTCATTCCACAATCTCTGATATTCCTTCATGAGGATATTCATGAGACCTTTGGCCGGATTGAAGACGTGCTGGAGTCTGCTGTAGGTATTCGCGGATTTGTTGGCGTCTTCAGTGATCGCATCGCATTGGTACAATGTCACGAGTGGCGGATTTCGTTCTGAAGATCTTCCCGTGCTGCTCCATGGCTGATTGATGGATGAATGTGGAAAACTCCAATGGTAGCAAACGGGAGGTCTGCCCTCGTTACGTGGCGGCTGTCAAACTCGAGGAGTGATTTGTTGGATGATTTTGGGAGCATACCACGATACTCGTCACTGTGCTCGATGTGGAGAACGACAATCTCTTTGTTACGTCCGTGTCCTTGGACAGTGGTGCGTGGTGGCAATCTTGGTCCAATGTACTTCTTGGATTCAGTAAACATGGATGGTCCCGTAGTTGCCAAGCAGTCTGAGGTCGGAATGTCGTATTCAGTGCAATTTTCCTCGGTTCCGAAGAAACATCAGAACATCCCGAATGTGGTTCCCCAGTTCTGACTCTTGGTGGAAATGTGTCTTGCCAATAGTTCCACTCTTGCGGAAGGTCCAAAGCATGCGATTGGCCTGGATGACCATTGCTTGATAACGATGCCCTTGTACCCGAATCGGATGAACGTCTTGATGAGTTCTCTGGATTTATCATCTTGAGGACTGAGGAATGCGTCTGCTTCATTGAGGCATAAGATGTGTGCGCTGTTCTGCATCATCATCTTCACGATTGGTCGGTCCTTCATCGCCATGTTGTACACCTCCCTGCCGTCCAGCTTTGGATTCCTCGTGAGGTTTCCATGGTTCATAGTAAGCATGTTGATCGTCAGGGATGAG